GTGGGCTGCTCTACTTCCCACTCAAGTCCTTTTTCAAACGATGGAGCCGCAGCCTTGGCGGTGATCATACTATCGCGAGTCCATTTCGGTGTTTATACGGCGAACGAACACTGAGACGACCCGCAAGGTTCTTCCGATTCTTCGTGCACTGCACAAAATTCACGGACCGATCAGCGTGATCCATTTCGACGCTCACCTGGTTTGTGTTTCCAATCCCATCGCAGTCGGTTCTAACCCACTTTCTAGGACACCTGGTATGCCTCCTCAACCAAGTGCACACATCACGGTTCGCGTACATATACCCACAGGCCGAGCTACGCCGGGGCGATAACAGAACAGTCCAAGGTCACACACGGCACATTTTTCTATCTCGCACAGGAGGAGGGCCTAATCACCAATACGAGTGTGCATGCTGGGATACGGTGCAAGCTTGCTGTAAGTGCTGACGCATACTCGACAAGCCAAGCCGATGAGACCTCAGGGCGAGGAAGATCTGGCAAATGATGAGCAAGTGGGCTTCCAGCTCATATCGACCGACGACATCGACGACGTAGGCATTCCAGCCATAATAGAGACCATCCGAAATCGTGTCGGCAACTCTCCAGTCTATCTCAGGTCAGTGGTCCACTGAGTCCGAGTCTCAGTCCACTGAGACTGGTTGCACAGCTTGGACATTGACGTCATTGGTACGCCCTTGCGTTTTTCGCTTACATTTCGACTCAATACTGGTCAGACCCTGGCATCGCTCCAGGAAGTGAGAGATGGAGTCGTCCAATTTGCCCCTCTGCTAATCGATTTCCAGCTGGGACGCCTGAAGCGGGGGGTTGGACGACCCGCGAAGTCAAGCGCATCCTCCGTGGTCTCGCAGGGCTTAACTTTGTGTGCGTGTGATGGCCGCATTTCATCTCAGCATCAAAGCTGACCAAAACGAAGTGGAGCTGATCTGGTTGAAGTCTCGCCTGCGTACGATTTCGCTGAAGTTACTGCAATCGCAGCTGCGGATCTGGTGCACGATTTTCTATCCATGATGTTGCTGGACAGTCCGCCCCCTAAAAGACAGCTGACTGCGAAGAAAGCAGCCACCTTATAAATCTGCAGTCGCGTTGGTTCCTACCATACTTACAAGTGCAATATTGAGTACGATTTCCGACTACGTATCACGTGATATTTGTGCTTAAATTCCGCCTGTGCGAGCATCTATCTGCTTGATGACCGATATCTGCCACCTTCGACGAGACCTCGCTTGCTCCACGATCTCTTTCTCCTCGCGTTCCTTATTGATGATGCCCAAAACCCTCACCTCCCGGCCCAACTCTGCTGCATCGTCGGTCTCGGCCTCCTCCCCTCGCTCTTCCTCCACGATTTCGTTGTCCCCCAGATCGATATCCGTCCCATAAACATCCTCCGGCCTGACTTCTGGGCTCGCGCCCTGCCCCCCAGAAAATAGCGACGAAATGGGACTAGTGATCGTCGACGCGATAAACGCGTGCGCGTCATCCAAGATCGTGCGTGGCTTGCGAAGCGGTAAGCTTGTTAGTATGTACGTCTTTCGTCTCCAGTCGGAGGTTGGCGTGTGCGCTGGCGCTGACACAGAGGGATCATGCGTGAACTGGAGGGTGATTTCGCCCGTCGATGGTGTGTAAGAGAAGCGAGGGAGGGGGTGCGAGTAATGATTCGGATATGGATAGGTAACAGGTCGGCGGTGACGAAGTACCAATTGATCACCTGTGATATAGTAAAGATAATGCGATCATGTAGCGAGAAAGGGACGCAGACCCTCGATATCCACGGCATGCCCAGAAGCTCTGGAACACAATGCCCCGCTCGTGTCAATGAAGAAGACCTACGCCTAGACTTCATGGAACTGGTTCCGAGATAATCACAGATGCCCACCTGGTTGTCTGCCTCTGGGCGCCTCCGATTTTCAACGAGAAATTTCTCTTTCTCTGGCCAGAGCAGGATGGGTGCCCCGTCCGCGTTGCTGTGACCGCCCACGTCAAGAAGGCGGTGATTCGCCTCGGAACGAATGACAAAGTAGCCTGGAGGAAATCCGTGGGTTGTTATTTGACCGTCCGTGGCCATGGTTGCGGTCAGACTCGGAGCTGATTGTTACTTAGTCCTGACTGCAGCAGATGTGCACAGCCTTCTTCCGTTATCTGATTCGAATAATCTTATCTAGCCGCAAGAACGAACGATGATAGTGGAACTTTATGACCTCTCTGTCTATCTCTGTCCATCATGCCACAGATAACCCTCAATGGCGCAGAATTTGAATACAAGCTTTCTGGTCCACCCGACAGGCTCCTAATTATCCTGCTGCATGGCGGGCGTGGCTTCGGTGAATCATTCTTGCTGACCGGCACATCAAATGTACATGACGATCGATGGAATGCAGGCACGACTTCCCCGTGCCCCCACAACCTTGATCGCTATGCTGGACAAGGTCTTTTCGGTCTTCCAGGACGATCTTGAGTTTCGACTGGTCATGTTTGCACTGGGTCCACTGTACGCAGAAAGCAGAAAGTTCAACGCAGACGTTGCACTGAAAGCAGCCCGGGTCGGAATTTACAACACAGAAGTTCACAATAGGCGCTCCTTCCTCGCGCGTTGGGCAGTCACTGCACACAGCATGTCTAGATGCACTCTACTCCAAAGCAGAGAAATACTTCGAATATCGGGACAAGCTTGCGACTATTTCCGCCAAGACACTGTTCATAGTTGGAGAGGAAGATCGAATCTGTCCGCCCTGTGCGTGTATGCCAGTGTCTGAAGACTTTGCAGCTGGATGCTCTTTGCAGCGCAGTCAAAGGTCATTGCGGATCTCATTCCCAACTAAAGTTTGGTGATGGTCCCGGGTGCCAACCACTCGGTTCAAGTGCAAAGAAACGAGGTTTTTATCAAAGCAGCGCGCGAGCTCCTCGAGGAGTAATGGAACGTTTGAGCAAGACCATTGTTGAGCTTGAGAAGTGTATGGATACCGAAGTTGTCCAAACTGGGAGATAGCGACCGCTTACACGGCAAGAATCGCACTACCCACTCGACTCCCAGCGTCACTTGAGCTCGAGGGCCCGAACAGCCGATCGCCGAGCTTAGAATAGAGTATTAGTGAAATTGGTACCGGCTATACGAACAGTCCAGGATCGGGCAGAGGTTCAGTTCTTTGCAGTGGACTGAAACGGACCTCTGCACTTGCAGTTGGCAGCGAGGGATCACTTGAAAATTCTGGAAAGTCGGAGAAACTGCTTCAAAAACGTGTTTTTCATGTGCAACACAATCAGGGCCCAAGGCCCAGGTTCGAGTTTATGGAAGAGTTGTGGTGATAGCATTAGTCAGCCACCGCGACGCGTTTGTTGTGTTTATTATGTCCCAAACAAACACCCCGTTTCTTCCCCTCCCACCATTATGGACTTTTTCGGTGGCAAATACCGGCTAGCCGAAGAAATTGCAGTCGGCGGATGTGGTACGCTCTACGTTGACCCAGCTCATACCTTGTCACTGACTAATGCATCCATCCTTTCCAGGCCAGGTCTTCATGGGCATTCACACCGTTGCCGGCAAGGAGGTCGCAATCAAGCTAGAACCTGCAGTCGCCAAGCATAGTCCGCTGAAGCAAGAATCGAAGATATATAAGACTCTTATGGGCGGTACTGGTGTTCCGTGGATAATGTGGTCTGGCCGACAAGGAGACTACAACGTCATGGTCATTGACCTCCTTGGACCATCATTAGAGGACCTCTTCAAGATGTGCAACCGCCATTTCTCACTCAAGACAGTCCTACTCCTCACGGACCAGCTGGTAAGCATGCGGTGGTAGTCATTGACCACCCCGTGTCGCTGACATCATCGCAGATCTCGCGAATCGAATTCATACATACCCATGGTTTTGTTCACCGTGATGTGAAGCCTGCAAACTTTGTTATGGGGACTGCAAAAGCAGCTAGCATGGTCAATGTGATCGATTTCGGGCTGGCCAAAAAATTCCGGGACCCTCGGACTTTACTGCACATCCCCTTCAAGCAGGACGATTATCACGGTGTTGGAACTTCGCTCTTTGCGGCGATCAACACACATCTCGGTGCTGGTTCGTCAATCTGACTGATGTCTAGTTGCTCGCGTTCTGACAATCGGCACCAGAATCGTCACGACGCGATGACCTTGAGTCGCTTGCCTACATGCTCATCTACTTTCTACGAGGAAGTTTGCCCTGGCGGAAATTGCGAGCGCCAGCAGCCCCTCCTTCTTCTCAGGTTGTGTCGCCATCCAATCCCTACAACCCAGTGTCTGTAACTTGGGATCTCATTCGCGACGCGAAATTGGCAGCCGAACCATTACTCACATGCGGCCTGCCACCCGAGTTCGATGTCCTGTACCGATATGCCCGTGGCCTCGAGTTTGATGACCTACCTGATTACGAGGGCCTCCGCGCCTTGTTCCGTGGTTTAGCCGAGCGCATGGATATCGAATACGATGGCGATTTCGACTGGAGCGTTCCTCCACCTAAAAATGCTACGCATTCCAGTCCGAAGGGCCGCTTTTGCGAAGCTTGTCATCGGCGACAGACGCGGCGCTGATATGCATGGGCGTTGGATCACTTTCCTCGCTCGCCCTCCCCCGCGCCCAATCAAGCGTACCCGATGGCCGGTGGCCGCCTGCCGTCCATGCGACGCGCCTAGAGCTGCAAATACGGATAACCCTGACATGACATCGGGCCATCATCCCCTCTCGGTTATCCTTCTCTGATATTTCAAGACACATGACGCTCGATGGCGCGTCCCCTCCACAAATGTTTGTCTCTGCTGCTGGCGACCCTCATTCTTGCTCACGTTTCTGATAGCAATCCATGGTTTCCACTATTTACGCATCCCACTCGGTGCCGATTCTTTGCTATGGCTGTCTACAGTGTATATATCCGCATTTCGTTGTAGTTTTAATCACATGTATATGCTCACAGACCCAGGTTGTGTATTCAATAAAATCAGTGCTGTCTTTGCTCTTGTGTCAGTTTATTGAATATCAGTGTTCAAACGTTCATACTTGTTCTAATCCATCCCTAATAGGGAATGATTCGACTCCACTATCTACGTCCACCGTGCCTACGCTCTGGTCTTAAGCTCTTTCGACGGACAATTGACTGGCCTCCTATTTTTATCATACACGCTCGCCATATCTGCCATGACTCTACGTCGATGGACTAAACCAGTTGACGGCACGATTCCTGTTCAAGCGCTGCTCTACGATGACGAAGTGCTTTTGGCAACTCAGGACAACGTTGGAGTGTACGATGGGTCTGTCTTTCTTCTCTTGTTCCCCGCCCTCGCCGATCGGAGCTCGCATCTAGAAACCAGAAGTCGCCGAATCACCAATCTGGCACTGTATACGTATCGACGCATAGACTGTTCTACATTTCCTCTGAACACCGCAGGAGTCGCTCTTTTGTTATGGATCTTTCTTATGTGACCCGGACAGAACACTACGCGGGCTTGTTCAAATCCTCACCCAAAGTCACCCTGTATATTACGAGCCCGACCCTATCGCCCGAGACCGTGGCCGTAGATTCTTCAGCAGTGTTCGAAAGTTGGGAGTGCGAAGTCTGTGGATATCGCAATCCTCCAGGCTTGAGCCCTGCTGCCGCTCGGATATGTGGGCTGTGCGGCATCTCGCGCGACTCGGTCCCGGCTCAACAAACTCCACTTTCCAACGCCATTCCTTCGAGCAGCTCGATGCCCTCTTTGCATGAATCCTCTGAAATTGCATGCAGCGCTTGCACTTTTCTTAATCATCCTTCACTGCAAGCTTGTGAGATATGTGGGACGCCGCTTCCTCGGCCAAGAACTTCGAAGTCTGCGCCGTCATCCCGACCTGTTTCGCCCGATCTCAGTGATGACGATGCCGGCGATTCCTCACCCCAGCTTATCAAGATCAGTTTCAGGAAGGGCGGGGACAAAGTTTTCTACGGAATATTACGCACGTCATTGAAAGGTAAAGCTTGGCTGATGGTGCGTGCCGATGTCCTTGATCGCTCTGAACATATTTGTGATACATTATCTCAGGCAGCCACACCAAGTGCAGTAGACTCTGAAGCGAATCGCAAAGGAATCAGCGGTATTCTGAAAGCAGCAGAGAACTCTGCTCAAAATCGCGTGATCAATATGGATGCTGCCTTCCAAGACATCGAGGCCCTCAAAGTCAGGACCAGAGAGATGGTGCATCTCGCCGCCGATCTCAACGAGAAGTTGACTGCGCTTTCCTCCACTGCGGATCCGGGCGTCACTGTTGAGCCGGAAGAAGCGACGTTCATCCGGTCGTCGTTGTCGCAACTAGGGCTGCAGATGACTAATGCGCCCGTGACTCAGGACATGATCACAGATGAAGAGCGGTGGACGGAGCAACTGGCTCAGGAGCTGTCCGGCGTCCTTCAGGGAAAGACGCGAAACTCTACGGGTTTGATGCGTGAACGAGGCTTGATAGCACTCGACGAGGTCTGGGGTGGATGGAACCGTGCCCGAGGAGTTTCATTGCTCCCGCCTGCCACTATGCTCCAAGTGACACCGCTCCTGCCCCGCTTCACAGAGCCACCGATTCACCTGCGCACGTTATCTTCTGGTATGCGGGTGCTGCACACTCCAGCATTCGCGTCTATGGCATTCGCCACACGCCTGATTGAGGGGATGACGACATCAGGCCCGAAAACTGTTGCCCAGATTGCCACCGAAGAGCGCATTGCTATTCCAATGGCATCAGAGCTGGTTATCGGTGCAGAGGCCGATGGCGACATCTGTCGAGATGACGAGGCATGCATGATCACCGGTGGGGGAAACCAAACCCGGTACACAGCTAATGTATTTGTCGGATATGTTTGGGACGGACATGCAGTAGAATCATGATCGGAATCCCCTGTTTTATGGAATGTGTGTTCACGCGACCGGATTACTCCGTCTTGACTCGTAAGGAAGGTTGATAGCAAGGTGAAATTCGAAACGGTAAGTAAGTACAGAGTTCATACCAAACCCGTATTTATACATAGTAGATCCGCTCAAAAGCGCAGTAAACGTGGTTCGGCGAGATACAATCCGAGACTGAATATTGCGTTCACCAGGCCACCGAGCAAGAGGGTGGCACTACCCACACCCCAAGCGACCGGGGCAAAAGCGCACGTGATGAGGGAGAGAACAGTGCACGCCGACGTCATTGCCACTGCGAGGATCTGCGTGAAGTTGATGGGCCAGGTGCATACATGAAGAGACGCACGAATGGCAGGTAAAGCAGCAGGCCCTGAACGAGCAGCGACGACACTACCCAGGCCGACAGATGCAACCAAACAGGCAATCGAATGATTGAAGCCAGGCGCGATAGACGAGTTGGTCATACCCTGAGGGCTGGTCGAGCGAATTGTAAGACGATCACAGCCAGCTTACCAGACCAGTCAGCGCCGACAGTGCTTTCGTTGCCGACGACTCATACAACAATACCGGTTTCCAAAAGAGAATCAGACCGATTCCGACGTCAGCGACACCTTTAGCGAAGACAACGGTCGAAGGGTTCATGGTGTGAAGCAATGTGAGACAGTCTATACAAATCCTTACAAGATAGTACACAGCAAATACAAGATACAACAAATCCGTCATCTCGATTTCAGGATACGTGAATCCGGTCGAGTGGGAAGACCTGTGATGGGTCAGGCGATTAGAAAAACTGACAGAGAGAACAGACCATTGATGGTTTTGTGTCTGGTTGTCAACATCGGGGTGCTGCCCTCCCTTCCCAGCTGAATTTGGAGCCGACTGTGCTGTTCTTCCAGAGCCCTCAACATCTCTACCATGTTATCCATCCACACATCGATTTCCTGCAGGAATGCTGTGCTAGGCGATGGGCTGCGTGATGGGGCGCTCAACGGGCCGGCCGTCAAGAGTGAAGATGAACGTGGTCTGCTCGATGAAAGGATGGATTCAGACACGGCGCGTGAGGACATGGATGAAGTGCGTGAGATGCGTGATTGCGCTGGCTTTATAGCCACTGGAAACGCAGGTGTCTGTGCGCGTGATGTCCTGACACCAGTTGCCATGTTGAGCCTGACGACAAATGGGAAACGAGCTACAAGAAGAAAATGGGCAGGGTTGCCTGGATTGCGTAAAGAGGGAAGGGTGCTCAGACGGCAAGAATCGTCGTCGGGATCCAAGCCTTATACACTCTTGAGCCCGGTGGTCAAGGACTAGACATCTCTGGAGACCATGGGAGTAATGCCCACCGAAACTGATCCGTTGGCAAGGCGAATGCGATCGGTGCGAGCATGAGATGTCCCAAAAGCACACGACAAAGTCGACGCAATCGCCAGTGTCTTGGATTGCCAAGCTATATGAAACTGAGCGCTGAGGGTTCGAGAAAACGATGGACTCACAATCTTCGGGCTTGTCCGAGCAGGGCTCAAGGAAACTGTTCATGTACATCATGGGCATCGAGTAGAGGGCAGAAAATAGGCATGCTGCTGTGAGAGAACCAAAGCCCGCGCTTTTGCCTACAATGGCCGACAACGACGCGGGTTTCTTGCGACAAGGATAGTTCCACGTGAAGAGGCGTTGTTTGCATGGTGAATTCCATGATGTCTGCCAACAAGAAACACGAGGAATGGAACATTTATTGCTGGGGAACAATTGAAGTTGAAGACAAAAGTTGATCAGATCGTGATTCCGGGATACAGTTCCGGCTGATGGATTCAAGACTACAATGTGCTACAAGGGTATACTACAGTTCATTAAAGGAGAGATATAAACTAGGGGGCTACAGATAGGAAATGATAAGGAGAACAATTGCAGTTTCGTTGAGCGTTGTAATCATATATGTATCGTTCGTTCGTTAGACGAAAGCGTCCGTTCACTTGAGCCGGCGCAAGCGAACGTGAAGCTCTTCCATATTCTCAACATTCCATTCGCCACTCCAGGTGTTTTCTTTCTTGCGCCAGACTCCAAGACCACTGCGCGGCGGTGCTTTGTCCAGGACGGGTACAGCAAGGTTCTTCTTCTGCTGACGCCGAGAACCCATGACAGCTTGTCGGGCGCGCTCCCAAGAAGCGTCATCGATATTGAACATGGCCGAGAACGGCCCTGGCGATGCTGGACCCTCCGCAGTCGAGGGGGGCAGCGCCGCGGAGCGCCTGGGGAACGAGTCCATTCCGAGAGCATAATGAAGACCAACAGCCGTCTTTGCGTGAGCTTCAGCATCGACAACCCAGTCAGGAGTCGGTGTCAAAGGCCATTCCGCCTCAGTCGAGGCAGGCGCTGGCTCGCGATTGCGAAACAAGGCCAGACGCCGCTTTCGGGGTTGCTTCGCGCCGTTCGCCATAGCCGCCTCCACGTTTCTTGGGGTCTGAGCCTGGCGATGATCAGGGAACACCAGCTCGATTGGAACGTTCTCGCCCAAAGTGCGCTTGAGTTTGGCAATTTTCCGAATGCGAGCGTTGGGCGACTGGACCGGAGACTGAGGGAGGAAAGGTGACAACGGAGAAAGCGGTGACCGCATATGATGTTCGATCGCAGTCGACAACGCAGCAGGTGTCTCCGGGGACAGAATGGCCGGCGGTGCAGATTTGTGAGGTATGATAATATCAGCAGGCTTAGGCCGCAACGGCTTCGGCCTGGTCTGAGGAGTGACATGGCCTGGTGAAGCGTCTGACGGTGGGTCTGATGGAGAGATCCAGAACTCTGCCGACTGGATGCCCTCGTTGCGAGTCGAAACGGACTCCAAGGATGTCGTAGATGAGGAGGCAGAGTGCGGAAATATATGGCAATCGCGGCGACGGGCCTTCAGAAGACGTGGACTAGACGGCGGCACCGAGAAGTTCACAACAAACGTTAATGGAGTAGAGGGCGCCGACCAAGCCGACTTCACGTCGGAGGCAGAGGTAGAAGGGGCATTAGGAAGTGGGCGGGGCATGAGCGAAGAAGAGAGTGTGCCAGAATGGGCGTTCAGACATGGTTGCCGCCATTAAGTAGTTGACCGAACAATTGAGATGTAACAATGCGTTCAGAGACAATTGGAATTTGCTTGTGTCTTGTTTGGCCGCCCACAATTGTTGTCATGTGACTAACGTTTACGTAAGTGGATAGTCACAATCAATCCTGACGTGTCCACCTTCCGTCTGAAGGATGCAACGTGCGAAACGTTGACTTGAGATGTCAGACTAAGCGTGAGAAATTCATCTGGAGTAGGACCTCTGTGGAAGGGGTGTCCCGGTCTCACGAGTCGTCGTGCCAGTCACGTTCCGTTTGGGCCTGTGTTTCGTCACTGGACGCGCGCGACGTGTTACTTAACGAGGTCGATTGATATGTTTACACCTGATACACTGAATACATTTCTCTTTAGCACCCGTTGATGTAACTATGCAAGGCTGTGCTCTCGGCAGAGTCGATGGTCAGGTTGTAAAAGTGTTTCTGCGCCATCAGCTTGGATGAGATGCGGTGACGAGAAGGAGGGAGCGTACCACTTCGATCCAGGCCCGAATGTAAGTGCAGACGTAGCTAGCCAGAGGGGGGACAAACGATGCAACGTCTGCACTGCATGAGCTATCGGACATGCAGTGAAATCGATAGACGGCATACCTCTATCACCTGGAGACAAAGAATTGAGTGAGTGGTCCCATGTACGAGAAGAGGACTGACCCTTGGATTCATTGAGGTTGTCAGTGACTATGCATTCATTTCAGGCGAGAACAGTGATATCACAGAATGCGTACTGGCGACGAGCTGCGGTCTAGTGAGATCGTTCGCGTAAGATTCACGCTGCGCTGCAGTCCAGTCACGGGCCCCGGATAGCCAGGCCTACTGAGCGTTAAGCTCGCTTCCATTGAGGCGCAGTGAGGCTGTCTGACCTCTTTCAAAGGAACGAGATGATCCTCAATAGACGGTTAGCCTGAGTCCAGCCGGAATATCGACAGAGCTTACGATGTCCAGATCACTTGCAAGTGTCGTCGCAACGCCGTCGTACGGACTGACCCAGTGGCCTGAAGTAGCTGCACAAGCGGAGTTCGTCACGACATTGGTCCCATCCCGAATCAGAACAGCTGGAGGGAGACCTTCAGTCCCAGATACGCCTCCCAATTGAACCCAAATCACTTTCGCGCGTGTCGCAATTTCCGGAGACTATCGCCACAGATGAGTGCCAGCGGGGACAACCAAAGAGAAAACCGACTGACTCGTGTCCCAGGTCTTGAATTCCGTGCGAGCGTATGCTGGCGAGTTGCTGTCCACCGCCACTTTGAGCTGGCTCAGATACGTTTTAGCTGTGGCAACCGAGACCGGAGTCGGGAGCGCGGCCAGAGCAGGGGTGCCGAGCACCGCGAGCAAAACAACTGCGGTAAGATGCTTGGGGAAAGAGACCATCGATAGAATGACCAGCGTTGGACGCTATTCAACGCAAGCGTATAAATAGTGCTCGCAGCAAATAACCTCACAAGTCGGACCGCATGAAAACAGTCAGATAGTGCCCCCGACCCACGTTGAGTGGATGCAGATATCAACACTGGGTCTGCCGGCGATAAGTTGCTTTGAGAGTTGACCCATATGCAATCTGTTGTTCCCGCATTCAGCGTCTTGCGGGGATGAGAAGGTCGGAAGCCGCCAAGCTCTGCCAAGCGTTATCAGCTTGCCGATTTTAGAGTCACACGTTTGATGTGTGCATACGCTGCTCTCCGGCACGGTCCAGCACCGACGTTGATGGAAGCTTAAAACGGCATGAGAAGCAGAGAGTGCTGGATGGTTTCTAGGCCATGCGATAGTAGATAACACAGAAACGTAAGGGCTTCAACATAGACACATTCCCTTGAGATGGATAAAATTGATACAATCAGACATTCAACAGCCATTGATGTAGCTGTGCAATGCCGTGCTTTCCGTCGAGTCGATGGTCAGGTTGTAATAGTGTTTCTGAATCATCGGAATCAAGCGGTGCAAAGGCTGATGAAATCTCCGTACCACTTCGATCCAGGCGCGCACATAAGTGCAGACATAACTTGCAAGAGGAGGAACAAACGACGCGGGATCTGCCTCCAATCAGCATTCCATCCGATGTTGATCTCGGGCAACACACCTTTGTCTCCTGTAGTCAAAGCGAATCAGTCAGCCTCAAAAGAAGATATTCCGTTACGAACCCTTGGCTTGATTCAAGTTATCGGTAACTGTGTCATGTAAGATAAGCACAGAACGGAAGCTCGCCTATTCACACACCTGCAACCAACTGTGGTCTCGTGAGATCGTTTGCAAAGGCTTCTCGTTGGGCGGGTGTCCAGTCACGGGCCCCGGAGACCCAAGCCTGTCGATGAATGAGTGTGTCGTTTCTTGCCATCGACAATATCCCCAACCTCTTTCAGAGGTACAAGATGGTCCTGGAAAAGTCATCAGACAGGATCGGAGACAGTTGCTGCAAGACAACCCACAATGTCCAGATCGCTGGCAAGGGTTGTAGCTACACCATCGTAAGGACTGACCCAGTTGCCAGAGGTGGCTGCGCAAGCTGAGCTCGTCACAACATTCGTCCCATCCCGAATGAGCACAGCTGAGAGTCATCGGTGGGAGGGACAAATAATCAGATGGGCAGAGGACTCACTTTCACGGGTGTTGCAGTTGCCAGAAACTGTCTACCGTTATAGCGCAAGAAGATACATCAGGATGTAGACAGACTGGTATCCCACAACTTGAACTGACTGCGCGCGTACGCTGGCACGTTGCTGTCGACAGCCACCTTGAGCTGCCCAAGGTAGCTTTTTGCCATTGCAACCGACACTGGGGTCGGGAGAGCACCAAGAGCCGGTGTCCCAAGCGCAGCGAGGGCCAGAATCGAAGTAAAGCACTTGGGGAAGGAGACCATGGAGACTCGAACGGAAAGCGGCAAGCGGCTGAAGCACAGGCAGTCTTAACCCTTGGATATAAGTACTGTCTCCTGCAGGATACGCATGCGAAGTAACACATGCGTGTAGAGCGAGATAGTCTTCAGCCCACGTTGTCCCAGAGCATCAGCATACAATCTATAGCGCCTAGAAGGACGGGTTATCCATGTGAGATTGATTCACTGGCGAAAACGATGCGCGTTTCTTCGAGATTAGGCAGAAAGTGGGAGGTGCGCCAAGCCCCGCCAAGCACGAAAAGCCCAGCGAATTGACGTGCAAAGACTGGGAGCTGGGAGCATGCTGACTATTTGTGCCATATGGCCCAGCCCCGTCGCTGATCGAAGGAGAGCATGTTGCAGTGCCGAGGCTGGTCTTACAACAGAAAGAGCTCAAGTATGATTGGAGATAATGGATAACGCAGATTTGAGGGTGCGGAGGTCTGGTGTGAATGAGGGCGGCATCTGGACCAAGTACCAAGTACCGTGTAGGACACAATGTTGAACGGTGCAGACGACGCATCATGATGTTAGTTTCCCATTTGGGGCGATTGTATCTGTTTACATTGACCTTCTCCCGTCCTCCATTGGTGTCAGCAGCTCTGTGCTACTTATGATTCTTCTACACCTCCTTGCTGGCTTTCTCTACACATTGGACTTTTCTCTTCATGCTCGTGCTTCCGCTTTGACGACGGCCATCGCGGCGAACGAACGGTTGTGTTTCTACGCTGACGTGGATAAAGTTGGGGAGAAAATTGGCGTGGGTATACTTGCCATCTATTCAGAGGGTTCTCACTGACTGTTACTAAGTTCTACTTTGCTGTAATTGAATTCATCGACCAATGCACGCTTTGGTCTCATACACGCACACGATCATTTAGGTGCAATCTGGAGGCTCGTTTGACATCGACTTCGATGTGAAAGACCCCAATGACAAGTTTTTACTGCAAGGAAAGCGGGAGCGTCAAGGAGACTACGTCTTCACCGGCAACGTTCAGGGCGAATATTCCTTCTGTTTCGAAAATGACATGTCCACGCTCACTGAAAAGCTCATCGACTTCGACATTATGGTGGAAAGCGAGCCAAGGAGAGAGGCACCAGCGAAGCCCGGTCAGATCTCAGAGCAGACAAGTGCGTTGGAGGAGAGTGTGTTCCGGCTCAACGGCATGCTCATGAACATCAAACGAACTCAGAAACAGTGCGTTTTCATCTTGTTTATCACGCCGTAAACTCTTCAATTGTTTGCCTGCAGCTTCCACACGCGAGAGAACCGTGGGTTCTCAATCGTGAAGTCGATTCAAAAGTGTGTTCGTCTCTACCTCCCAAACGTGCTGAAACTCATCGGCGGATAGTCGTTTATTCTGGTATGCTGTCTTCGAGAGTCTGGGCGTTGTCACCATGGCTGTGTATGTGCACTCTTGTCTTTCATCGGCGCATCCTCACATATCGGCAGCTTCCAAGTTTATGTGCTACAAACATTCTTCACCAAAACCGGACGACGGTACAAGGTTTAAATGGTAGTGCTGCGGCTCTGTACTTTTACGAGAGGATGTCCGATGCATTCTATATATCCCATATTTTGGACCACGCTCGCTGGTCTGAAGCTTTGAGCCCACACAAGCTATCGCATCAGAAAGTCCCGATAGATCTCAAACATTGAGGAGCTCCTGTGAATAAGTAAATGCTCTCTGCGCGGGATCAAGGTGAGCGACTAGTGTTATTCGATTTCTCGATACCCGGAGAGTCTTTGCATAATGGCCATCCCGTGCGTTGACATGTGACTGGCATGTGACAAGCACCGTTTGACGATACCCACCTTCATCCTCCCTCCCACCATGCAACACGCCCTTGAAGTATCATCACTACCCGAACCTTTGGAGCGCATCCCGGAACTTTGGTTTGATGACGACAATCTCGTCCTCCGCGCAGAAAACTCGATCTACCGAATATCAAAGGGCCTGCTTGCAGCACGCTCGTCGGTTTTTGCGGACATGCTGTCATTTCCGGAGGGAGAGGAACATATTGATGGATGTCCCGTCGTCCAGTTGCATGACAGTGCGCGGGATGTGACTTGCTTTCTGAGGGCCATCTTCGATTCGAGGTGTGTCTTCCGCGCGCTGCTCCTTTGAAGCGTGTTCTCATCAGCCTCGAGTTTCTTCCAGCCTCCGCCCAGCAAGACTGACTTAGCAACAATCACGGGCATCCTGCGTCTAAGCCACAAATACGACGTGCAATATCTTCGTCGGCGCGCATTGCAGCACCTCGACACGGGCTACCCTACCTCCCTCGATGTGTTCGAAGTATCTGGATCGGAAACATTCCGTAGCGACGGCCTCGATGACAGTCTGGTGGTGATACGATGCGCTTCAGAAGTCGGTGCGACATGGGTGCTGCCGAGTGCTTTCTACTTCCTATGCTATTCGGACATGCGCGACATCCTCAAATCCCCGCAATGGCCTTTGCTCACGGCCGTCGACCAGGAGACAACGATTGTGAGCTACACCAAGCAAAGGCTGGCCTGTCCGCCTGTCCTCCCGTTTCTAAGGATCCCTTTTACGGAAGGTTGTTCCACGCTGGACGAATGCTCAGAATACCGCACCTTATACCTGGAAGATGTGGGGGCATGGAATATCTCTGACCCATTGGGAAGCTACCGGGACTGGACACCGTTCGAGAGCAAGGTTTGTGGGTATTGTCTATCGCACGCGGAGGAGTATCACCGGGAGGCCAGAAAGAAACTCTGGGATGGCCTTCCCGCAATCTATGGGCTCCCTTCTTGGGAAGATCTGGAAAGATTGAAAATGGAGTCGTTGTCGATCGAAACCTCTCATCAAATGTGTTGACTCTCACTCTCATGTCTTGGTTTAAGACCTCGGCGTCCATGTGCTTCCTATTTACTCATCTGCAAACTTGTATCTCATACCAAACATCTCAAATGTATCCATCCTGCCATGTAATAACTTCCCTCGATGCTGTCATCCCGTGTGTCTCATTTCTCGACCTGCCCTCGACCTGGTATCAAATCTGGCCTTAACTTCTTCCTTGTCATTGACTTGCCCGTGAAAACGTCAAATATAGCCCCAAACCGGCAATGACGTTCCCGAGGATTCATATACCCCAGTTTCTCCATGACTGTTCCCACACTCACATCTCGAACGGCTATGCCAGCTCACGATGCTAGTCGGCAGAATAGGGTCGACATGGACGCCGCTCGCGCGGCCACGACGGTGGACGTGCTGGCTTTGAGAGACTTTCTACACGGTGCGTGCTATGACCTTGACTTTCATCTCTTACTCACTTATCACGCTGCTCATGGCCAGGTGGATCCGCAAAGTGGACAGCCCGCGCGCGCATCGTCGATATACTGCAACAGGACCCGATTTTTGACAAGACGCAGCGGTTCGATTTGTCTCGTTCGACTTCAACTGACCAACTCGATTGACTCTAAAGGCAGGCCTTTCCTTACCCGTAAGGAGCTCTACACGAGGGGCCAGGCGTTGACGAACCGGCTTTACGAGCTGAAGGAGGCTCATCACTGGTCCGACGAGGAGGCAACCATCGCGGTTTCTGTGCTGGACGACGCTTTGCCCATTGGTGAGTCGTCCCATCATACGTTATCGTAATGTGTGAACCCGAACTGGACTCTAGCTCTGCACAACATCGGTGAGTGAATGCTATTAGACACTTGTCCTGTAGTACAATTGAACCTTGACAGCATTTGAACCTGTATTTCGTCTGCAAGCATCTGATGCCTTGCTCGCTCATTACGCTCATTTGGTGGCTACAAAAGGAATCCTTGGCTGCTACCTCCAAACTGAACTCGGGCATGGCACCAACGTCCGGATGCTCGAAACAACCGCGACGTACCAACTAGACACACAAGAGTTCGAGATTCACTCTCCAACTCTGACGAGCACGAAGTGGTGGATCGGAAGTCTTGGGAAAACGGCCACACACGGGGTTGTGCAAGCGAAGCTGATACTACCGGGAGGGAAGGACATGGGTCCTCATCTGTTCTTTGTGCAGCTAAGGTCCTTGGGTAGGGCTGTTTGTTTGGAAACGGGACTACTTGTGACCAATTTCGAACACAGCTGATCATCGACCACTTCCTGGCCGTACTCTGGGCGACATCGGTCAGTTTTTCCGAATGGAAACCCTCGTCTTCTGAATCTTTCTGCCTAGGCCCCAAAGCGCTGGCCGGCTATGCCTCGACAGACAATGGGTTTGCGCGCTTCGATCGGGTCCGCATCCCGAAAGAATATATGCTCTCCAAGTTTGCAGATGTTACTGCTGCTGGAGAATATGTGACTCCTCCGCATGCCAAATTGAGCTATGGCGGGGTGAGTGTTGCTGCACTGCAAATGCTTCGCCCCCGTTAATGAGTGTGGTAGATGCTTTATATCCGCTCTGGGTGCGTGGTTCGTTTGGGACATGATGTCGCAGGTCTCGACGCAGGTCTCATCCTGAACTAGAATGGTAACTGCTGCCGGCTGGGCGATTGGCAAAGGTGATCAGGGTATCGATGTGTAAGCTTCGGCTAACAAGTGTTCAGGCGCTACTGTGGCTATCAGGTACGCCACTGTCCGCCGGCAAGGAGCAGTCGGATCCGACGGGCTCGAACATCAAGTTATATCTTACCCGTCGTTGCACATCCGACTGGTCCCTCTTGTTGCGCGTGCCTACGTCTTTATCGAGCTTGGACGTGCTCTGGTGCGTGCCATTGGCACTCTCAAGATCTTGCTGAGCAGGTTTACGTGCAGTCCCGTGGCTTCGATTCTCTGGCAAAGGGTCTCTCATCCGGCGACACCTCGCAGTTGGCAGAAATGCACGTGATGACGAGCGGACTCAAAGTTCTGGCGTCTACGACTACGATTCAAGACCTCGAGACAGCCCGTCGATCAATGGGAGGACATGGCTACAGCGCTTTTGCTGGCGTGGGAAGGATGTATGCCGACTACTTGCCTGCCGCGACGTGAGCCTGTCCCCGGCTCACCACCATCCCCGTTGACTGGCTGCAGATACGAGGGGGAGAACTTCGTGCTGGATGGGCAAGTGCTGAGAGCAGCATTGAAGGCCTTCAAGAACCTTTCTTCCTCAAAAGAGCTCGCGCCGTCCTCGTTTTATCTCCGACTTGTTCTTGACACGCAACATGTGCCGCCTCGATTAGGACCGGAGTCTTGGTCCGATCCGGCGATTTCAATTCTGTTGCTGGAATGGCGAGCAGCAAGACTGGTCAATGAAGCTGCACTCGTTGCCGCAAGCCCGGACCCAACGACGACTCAACGCGTCTCGAAAGCAGTGACCGAGGCGTTTGTCGCTGCAAGAATTGGTGAAATGATTGCAACGCTCGCTTCGGAATCGACTGTCGTCCGCAAGGTCTACAATTTGGTGCGCACTGCCCGCACCGGTGTGGCTATCCTCCCTGAGTAAAATGGCTGTGCAGTATCTCCTGACAACAGTCGAGTCTGCGCTGACAGATCTACTATCGCTGGGACTTTTCAATGTGGTGGATACCGCCACCAAGTCTCTTGATCCTACGCGCGAGCTTCGGTTGTCGATCGCCCAGTCTTGTGCTGATCTCCTGTCCGAAGCGATCGGACTGACGGATGCTTTCGGATTCACCGATTGGGAGCTCGACAGGTGACGCGTGTTTTTCGCATTGTAGAAAACGCATTCCCAATTACCCCTCAGCTCACTCGGACGGTACGATGGAAATGTGTACGAGGCGATATGGAACCGAGTGCGGGACGAACCTCTCAACCAGACTGAGGTTACCGAAGCCTACCACGTCTGTTCTCCCTCACTTTGTTTCCAGCGTGCACTCACTGGTGTCCTAGAAATCGATCAGGCCTTTGCTGTTGCGCGGTCAGAATCTGGCTGCAAAGCTTTGAGTTATTCCCATGTAGTACAGTCTTTACGATTTGAATCGGATTTTCTTTCTGTGTGGATCAGACCAAAGTGCAAACGAACACGTGCTTTGTGACAAGCGCGTCTTTCTCTTTCAGTGACTTCCACGATCACGGCTGAGACGCGACTATCATGTCTGAACCCACATTTCCCGATGTTGTCGGTTCGTCAGGGCTCCAATGTATAACTCCGGACAATCTCTAAAGGTCCTTAGGGTATAAGCTGCATGACAAAATTGGAGGAGGTGGCTTCTCTACGTGTGTGGCATGACTCGCATCGACATGCTATCGCAATCGAGAATCTCACCTTCTTGCCACCAGTGTCTGGATCGCCACCAATATACGCGACCACCGTGTTGCAGCATGCAAAGTCATCCGCATAACCGACCGAACTCTTTCTGAAGACAGAAAGAAGGTTGACAAAGAGATGCGGATTCACGCACAGCTGAAACACACTAATGTCCTGGAGCTCCTCGACGCAGTAATAGTCGAGATGAAGTACGCTCAAAGGTATCATCCTGGCTACTATCTTCTCCTTGAGCTTGCGGCGGGTGGAGATTTGTTCGATAAGATTGGTGAACATCGATTCAGGCCCTCAGCCATGCGGCGGCTGACGTTGGTTCTAGCTCCGGATGTTGGGCTGGACGATGATCTATCGCATCTTTACTTCAATCAACTACTCTCAGGGATGGTACACGGCTCTCTCTTTCTTTGTTGCCCATCGCTCAGAATCTTTAGGACTATGTACACAAAGAAGGGGTTTGTCACCGAGATCTCAAGCCAGAAAACATCCTCCTCGATGCAGCTGGTACACTCAAGATATGCGATTTTGGTTTGTCGACTGTATACAAGCTGAAGGATACTGGACGAGTCCGGATGTTGTCTGAACGAAGTGGCAGTTTGCCTTACGTCGCTCCTGAGGTGAGTCGTTCCAGTCCTCATCGGAATATCTTTAATGAAAAGCTCTAGCTGAACGGCTCTGAACCATACGCGGCTGAACCGATCGATGTTTGGGGTATGGGGGTGATATTGTTCACATTTCTGGCTGGGAGTACGTCGCGCTCATTCTCTCAAGTGACTTACCTTGACTGATCCACGATCACCTGAAGACACACCTTGGGACGAACCATCTCGGAATAGTCCCGAATTCATGGCCTATCTTTCCGGTGAAATTCTACAAGAACAGCCGTGGTGTCGCTTCAGCAGTCAAGCATTGTGTGAGCCATGTAAAAATACACGACGATTAGTCTGTGACTCATTATTACCCAGCGCTCATCCAAGGGCTGCTTACTGTTGATCCTCGAGATCGATTCACCTTAGCTGACGCATTTCAGCATCCATGGTGCCAAAGACCCAGCCAACTCGCCAAGGCAGGGATGATGGGTCTTGCTGATGCTCTCTGTGAGCCGTTGCGCCAGTCGGGAGACATGGATCTGGCCGAACCTGACCTGGGAATACGGTACAGTACTTTCTCGCCCACCCTCTTTTTCTCCACTCTCAAGTTCCAAGCATGGAAGATGAAGACGTTCCAATGCTCTCGGCAATGACACAATTCACTCAATCCCTAATGCTCTTTGTGAGCGAATTCTGGTCCCGCTGATAATCGCATCGAGTCTCAAATGTGGTCTCTTCAGTCTCAAACACAGGGCGGCAGACGACATGAGCCTCGACTGACACGTTTTTACGCATCTCTCCCTCCTGAGACCATTCTTCCTCTGATCAAATTGGGGCTGGAATCGCTGGATGCTCAAGTACGCGACGCCCCCGCAACATTCGATAACCCTCCGAAGCTCAGACTAAGAATTGGAGGACAAGATATGCGGAAGGTTATCTTCAAAGGCTGGGTCGAGGTCGAGGTCTTTGAGTATCGCGGCTCGATCGGAAGCTTTTGTGTCATGAGCAGAACAGAGGTGCGTGAATTACTTGCGTTGTTTTTCGTCGTCGTCGATCAAAGGCAGGGAAATCCGCTCTCCTGGCGGCAGCTATGGAGAGCACTTATCCAAACTGACTCCCTTAGCATGCACGTACTGCGGAAAAAGAGGGTCTAGAGCTGTCCTTCAGCTTTCAATCTACTCATTTACATCATCTCGAACATCTGTATCAACACATTCTTCACAATCAAGCAAGGACGGAGCTCCAGTCAGTGGTCCGAGCAATCTCAGCCCATTTGCGAGGTGCACGCAGTAAACCCTCGGAGTTTGCGATCGGAGCACCGGGGGGATAGTCTATGATGGTCCTTGGGATCAGACAAAAGGAGACTAGTGATGTGAGGACTGACATCCGAATTCTCCAACTGCTCCCGCAGTATCTTGCATGTCCCGCACGATGTGGGGCGGCATGGCCGCAGCTGTGCACCGAGCAACAAATTGCGGAACAGGGAGCTGGCGGGCGAAGATCTTCTTGCCTGTTGCTGTTGAGCACAGGAAGTCAGTGTCGTGTGCGAAGCCTGCTCGACTCGAAGATGTGGCCTACCTTTAGCAAGTTGAAACGTGATGTCTTCAAAGGATATCATCTCAGCCGCGGTATGCAGCGTAGATCCAACGGGGAATTCCGGCTGCTCGAAGACTTTCAACACCCACAGCCCATAGTCGGTCGCCGTGTCGATCATTGGCAGCTGAGTCGCCCGACTAAAAGGCCATTCCAGTGCAAAGGATCCATCTTCTTGTTTCTGTGGACCAAAAATGGGATTGAAGAGGTTCGAAGAGTAGTATCCGGCCTGAACGTCGACGATTGGAACCCCGGATTCGCGGCCGTATATGGAGATCTCGGCCTTCGTCTCAAAATGAACAATCTCGGTGTACTTTCCGTCGCTGAATTTGGCGGGAGAAGGGAGTCCCGACCAGACGACTCGTTTGACTGCAGCAGCTTTAACAGCGTCGATCATCAGTTTACCCTCCGCGATCTCCTGGTGCCAGCGTTAGTCCCAGTCATGGGTGTCCAAAAACACGCAACTCTTTCGGGGTCGACATGCTCCCAGAAGTTTGTCACCAGCTGCGGCAGCGATCAGAGAGGCGATACCGAGTCATCGCAGGAAGGACTCACAAAGGCGAGATCGGCGCCAACAAACGCTTGCATCACGGCGTCCTTGTTCTGGACTGTGAGGTCCACTGCGTACATGACAACGCCCCTTGCGGCCAATTTCTGTGCGGCGGGTTTGGTCACATCCCTCGTGAAGCCTCGAATTCTGTAGGGCCGAGGAGACAAGTCGAGCGCATCGATTACGCTTCTGCCTTGGTTGCCTGTCCCACCGACAACAGCCACCAAGGGAGCAGAAGGGTTTGTAGAGATGGTCATTGTGTGAGGCCATTGAGCATCGCATCCAGTGACCTTTTAAAGGGACTACTCGACATCTTCCAAGTGCTGATTTGCCGCAGGTCGGGAATTGACAAACCCGATGTAATCCTGCTCGTAAACGAGACGGCATTCGACGCATCCGCATAGCCGTCTTTCCTGGTAAGATGAGATTAGCATCGGCATAGAATTATAGAACTTCAAGCAAGGGGAAGCGGCTGATCATGAGCGTCCGCGTCATTGACTTACCGCACAGGCACGGTCAGACCGCACAGTTTGCTTTCAATTGTGTGGAACTTCTTGGGTCATGCAGGATCAATGTTAATTGTACAAAAATGGATAGTGCAGAGCGTAAGGTAAAGGGAAAGTGAGAGCGAATAAAAACGAAGGGGTCCTGCGATAGCATATCATAAATCATCATGGATTTCGTCACTCGGGTTTGACCCGCCATATCACCGCCGCTGCCGCCATACTTAAAACTAGCACGCCTAGCGCGGTCTGGATTTGAATATTTCGGTCTGAGGAGCCCATCGTCTGGCCCGCGGCAGCAGGCGTTTTCTGCACAACACAGATCAATACCCCGAAAAAGATGAGAAGCAAATCTCGCACCTCGGCTGACGGCGTTTCCGCGAAGTTGAGTGACCGCCCATCAGAAGAGGAGATTGAAGGTGCCGGGGTAGCCAACACCACTCGGGCATTCTTTGCCAGCTCTGTGATGGCATCCTCAGAGCCAACGCTGTCAGCCGAGGACCCGTCCGAGTTCCCGCTTCCCTTGGGAGAACTGGACCGTCCCCGACTTGAGCTGCGCCTCCTACGGCGACGGCCAGGACTCGAGTCGGCCGACAAGCTCCGAGGACTAGGAGGTGTCACTAGCCCACCATTGCCATGTGGATAAAACACCGACTTGGCAGGTGGCCCGAACAAAGTGTGATTGGCCAACTTCACCTTGATGCGTTCATCCACCAAGCCCAGCATCTGAGTCTCCCATTCATCACGACTACGTTTCAACCGTTCTCGTTCTTGCGCCCATTCTGAAGACCACTGCCCTTGCAGAGAGCTTTTGAGCGAATTGAGAGCCGAGGTGACCGTTTCCGGCACATCCGGGGGCGTCTTCTCTGATGTGACGGCGGAAACAAGCCCTTCCAGCCGCTTCACTTTTTCTTCAAGCGCAATGATGGTCTCTTGTGCAGCAGCATGCTGGGCCTGCAGCGTGGACGAGATAGAAAGAGCCGACTCCAGTTGGCTCGAGATCTGGCCCAGACGAGTCGTCAGCTCGTGTATGACGTGATGATTCGAGCTCGAGGCAGTCGGCGAGGATGGGGTCAACGAGGACGATGGCTGTATGGGACTTCGCAATGTCGACGATCGAGCTCCTCGACCCATGCCGAGCGTACCCGGTTCGGGGGTCCGAGGTCGTGCATGTTCCCGATCATCGACTGCCTCCATATCAATGTCATGCGACGATTCCGAAAGCGTTTCCTCGTGCGACATTTCATCTCGATCCTCCTCGTCTTCTTCGTCCACAGGCTCGAGGGAGTGCGGAATCACGGTCGCGATACTACGCGCGTCAGAATCGTCATCGAGATCCACCTCCTCCTCCATATCATCGAAGTGATCCCCAGATTCGCCAACCGACCGAGATCCCTGCTGCAAAACGCCGACAAGGTCCCGTAATGTGCGCACCTCCTCTTTCAGTGCTTCCTGCTCCGAAAAAACGCCTTCTAATGCACGAATCTTTTCAACATGCGTCGTCAACGAGCTTTGTGTTGTATCCAGTTGCGCTCTGAGATCCGCCAGGCTCTCCGCACTGGGGCCGGCGGCAACTGGAGCAGCGACGACAGCCGGAGGTGGCTCCGATTGTGGAGGCCGTACAGAAGGAAGAGCATGAGGATACACAGGGAGATTTGAAGGCTGTAAGAAAGGAGCTGTAAATGACTCATCTGTGCAAATGGGACCTTGACGACAGACCATAGAACCACCGAGTGTATCCTGTATTTCATTCATAGCGCCGCTCAAAGTTTGTAAATCATGTCCCGTTTCCCTGCTTTTTGCCAATTCTCCTTGTAGTCGTGTGAGGATATGATCGAAAGTGAGCCCGCTTTTGCCGGGAGGTCGTACACTGCCGCCCATGCCACCGATGCCATTCAGGCCAGGATGTGGTATTTGCGCTCGTCGTTGTCCCTGCGGCCCACCGGGGCCGAAATTGAACGGCCCAGCGCTTCCGGACCCCGACTGTGGCATCATGGATGTGGGGTATTGCCCCTGACTCTGCTGCTGCTGCTGTTCTGACCGCGCGGCAATAGACGCCTGCTGTTCGGTGAGAACGCACGAAACCCGAGCCGCCACCTTGTGATGTATGATAGTTTTGTTGTCTTCGCCCACTATGTCGATACCAAATTCCTACGCTGGGTGAGAACGAGCGACAATACCATGCATACAGACATACCACAATATCATCGCTGTTCAGCTCGAAAGGCTCAGATTCCACGCCCTCCGCACTTAGTCGTTCACCATTAATGAATGTGCCATTGGAGCTCTTCACATCTCTAATAAATATCTTGAAGACCATGCAGTGAGTCTCTTTGGACACAGCGACCTTGGCCATTGAGCAGACGAACCTTGCCATTCTCCTCCCACACTTCCGCATGCTGTCGACTGAGGACCTTTGAGTCAAAGTATCCATTGCGTTCTCCGGGATTTGTCTTCGCATTTGTCTGACGACCAATTTTGACGCTGTGTCCAGAGGGAAAGAGGGAGATGTGCTTTGGGATGAACGTATCATTGAGGGGATATAAGTATAAGGCGGGATACGGCGGAGGATTCTGAGGATTGGGGAAAGGAGCGGGGGAAGGCATGATGGAGTTTGAGAGCGCGTATGGAGCCTTCAACAACTGTCACGTCGCTCACAACAATGGTAGACATGGCACCGCCACCGGGCAGCTTCCAGCTTGCAGCCACGAAGCGCCGCATAACGCATTCATTAAGACGAGAGAAGCACTACGAAGTGCGCAGACCGCACGAGAATGACGCGGCTATCGCCACGAGGGTTGAATATTAGTGCATACAGAGACTATCATAAAAAGGTCCATAACTCCTCAAATATAAACGAGCTCGAAACAACGTCCGAGGCTTAACCCTTGGGCAGGGCACTCGCCCTCTTCGAATTTCTGCCCATCGACGCGGCTCCATTTCCATATTTCGAGGGCGATTGGGGTACTCCCAGCGTGCTTGCGATCGGCCGCGGAGACCTTGAGCCCTGCCTAGTGTTGACGCTCAGCTGGCCGAAATCGTTGACCATCCCTGGAACACCCAGTCCCGAGCCCATCATTGCCATGTGGGTCATCGGCAGCGTCATCGACATCGACATGGGCATGGGGATGGGCATGCTGGGCTGCATGCCATAGGGATTGGGACGGGTTGCTGGTTGCTTGGGGATTGGCGCCGATGTGTCTTGCGGCTGGAGCAGCAGCTGAAGCGCATACAAGCACATAAATGCGTCGTTGCCCGAGTTGTGTAGGACGACGCCGGGAATCATCGCACCCAGCTGGGGAAACTGGCCGGGCACAACAACATTCGTCTGAAGAACGCCAGAGTCTGTTGTCCCAGGCGCAGGCAGGGAGCGCAGGAGATTATCTAGGCTGAGTACCGAACCTTGGCCGCGCGGTTTGGGATTCCCGGGCGCAGACGTGTGAGGATCGATCATGGGCGGCCGGTGTCCGGCCGAAAACAGGGAACGTTCAAAATTTGCCGTGTCTATGATGAGCATGTTATGCGGCAGTCTGATCTTCATTTCTTCCAAATGAGCCAAATCGCCGTTGATGCCGTGCGCCACAAGCACTAATGTGTTCGGCAAAGTCTCCGAATCTGGGCTGGCAAGACTGCTGCAGTGCACTGTGAGTATCGGAAGGCAAGATAAAGCGATACCGGCGTTCATACCTGATAACCGCTTGGATAATCTGGGGCAGTCTTGATTTTTGACACATTTGACTGTCTCCAAACTTGGGTGGGCGGGTTAACCAGCAATTGAAACAATCACCTTGGTCAGACTCACGACATACTGTAGAAATGTATCGGCAAATAGCAAACAAGATGTTCCCGAGCACATACCTGCCAAGGAAATGTCGGCGAGTGCCTATTGACGACTTTGTCGACATATTCGGAAACAATGTAGTGGCCTTTCCTAAAAACGGCTGTGAGACGGCCTAACAAACCCCATCGGACCGGATGTCATACCTGTAATTCGACTCAGGGATTGGAGGCCAATATCCTTGTCTGTCCAATGTTAATGCCAGGCTGAGACCCGAGTGGAAGAGCGCGCACGCTTCAAGATGACCGCAACGGACAGCAGCGTAGCCCCACTCTAAGCAACTTTTCTCATTCCTCTCACTCCATTCAAAGCTAATAGCCAAGAATGTTCGATCGCGTGACGCCCAAAGGTCCCGGATAGCCTTTGGCTCTCCAGCCCGGACACGCTGCTTGAGCGCCGAAAGGACTGCGGCAGGCAGTGTAGAATGCATCTTCTTGTAGCTTGCATAGTCGGAGACAGTACGAAGATGCCGCGAATTTGTCTCAAATGGAGTTACTTGTAGCATATTGGGTGCTTGAGGCAGCGTCTCTCCAAATCTGCCGAGCAATGAGCATGATTGTGCAGAGATCCGGGCAGCCTACCGGGTCTTGATCATCTTTAAGAAGGCTCCGATGGAGTTCAGTCGAGTTACGATATGGGCTCGGCCGGTCCATGCGTCGGTGACAGTGATTGCGGGCCACGAGAACGCGAGAAACTCCTCGAAGGTCGAAAACAGATGCCCCCAAGAGCGCTCATACCTGATGACTTGTGAGAAGACGGCCGGATAGAGAAGTGCACAAAGTCGGAGACTCACCACGGTATGTTATGTTGCTGGAAATAACCAATGTATGCCGAATACACCTATGACAGCCCCTTCAGCCTCTCACAACTCTACCCGAACCGCGAAGAGCGCACAGAGTGTAGGTCGTATTCCCAGCCTCGCGGGTCCACCAATGTGAAATCCGACATTCTTGGCGTGCAGGTGCAAGCACAGGTGAAGGTGCGGATTTAGATTTCACGATCCGAGTGACGCGAGGCTAGATTGACGCCTTGGTGCCAGCGAGCCAAGTCCGCAGGATGACAAAGCTATGAAGATGACAGGAAGAGCAGGAGCACGACGGGCAGAAGAGGCCGTTTAAATTAGGGAGTGCAACCGCTTGCGGCATTGCCGTGCGGAATCGGAGGAAGCCAACCAGCCGGCATCAATTTAGCGGCGATGCGGTCAGCCCCTTCCATTTCTGGACATCAGGCCTTGCGTCGAACCTCCTTAGTCAGGCGCGAGTACATGGATAGGGAACAGAGCTTGTGAGTTGTGGAGTAGACGAGTGAGAGGCGGATGGTGAACCTGCCCACTGGTGGAAGGCTTCCATAGCGCCAGTCAATCGTTTGACGTCAGACAGCATTCATCACTATGTGCCGCGGCCTAAAATGGTAACAGATCACTTGTTGGTTCTTCCGGATTGTCTGGATATCTCTGATTTCCGCAACGAGGTTATGCACTTATGTCAGATCCGAACAGTTCGAATGAAAGGACGACCAAGAGGTCTTCCATTGCGCGGGACAAGATTGTGTTACAGAGAACATGAAAAGCATAGGCACAACGAAGGATCAGAGAGAGCACGATGCGAGGCATCTTCGTGATAGCCTATTGCGGGTTTCCACCATAGCTCGAGCTGGCATGATGCCCGCTGTCCGGAGTGCCAAAGACGACGCCGGTGGGATAATCGGGGTCCCGATGGTCCCGATGCGGCGGCGGCAATGGAGAATACCACCTGCTCATGGGTGACATTGACTGATTAAATGGTGAGCGAGTTTCACACACCCAGGTTTGCCAACATTCTGTCGATAGATCGCTTCTTGCATGCGTCCATGATGCGGATTGGGAAGTCTGTGGGTGACAGACGTGAGTCACATCATATACTATACCGGACAGCCTCTGAGACAGACGCGTAAAGATGGTCGTTGTTCACAGGCCCAGGGCTATCAAGTTTGTAAGCTAGAGTGGACGATCGGTAGATACTCAGCCGATGACTTACATAGGCCATTGTTCGCTGCTGTTGGAGTAATCGAGTCAGCGAAGATCACAAAATCACGATGTCTCGCCCATCTCGCCCACGTACTTTCCAGAGTCCGCAGACGTGCGTGGCGGCGAAATTCCAGGTGTCCCAGCCGGAACGGGCAGGTTGATCCTCGCACCGTGCGAGTGACCAGACGGCCCCATTGGCATGGTCCTGACGCATTTTAAGCGTTTGAAAAGAGTGTAAATCGAGGTGCATGGCTCACGGGTAACGCGCGGAATGATAGCTTGAGATCTGCGAGCTGCACCAAGTCAGTTTCATTGCAAAAGACATCAGGATGATCTCGCTTACTGCTGACTGCTAGCGGGAGAGAGGTCGATAGAGAACAGAGACGGTTCCCGAGCGTACGGTTCAACAGGCCTGAGAATGAAAGTCAATGCAGAGATCCAAGCTGATCCAAGACCGCACTACACGGGATAGCTGGGTCCCGCATCGTTGGAAACCGGTGGCCGCCTTTGCCGACTACCAATGGATTAATCGAGGTGTGTTCAGTGACATCGACAGACGCACGCTTTTGTGGACTTGACCTGCACATTAAATAGTCAACAACAGGCGACGAAACAGACGAACAAGACTTGATCCTGCATTGAACGCGTACCAAGTACTGATTCCACATGTTGGCCAGCAGAGTTTGGAGCGCCGGGTCAATAGTTGCACCAATGACCTTCTCCACGACGGTCTTCCAAATAGATTTCTGTGAGGCAGGTTCCACTACATGCAAGGAGTCGAGGAACCTAAACGGCAGGAGTTCAATCCCAAGTCAGTGACGACAGAGTATGGGACGCCGGACATGTTGAATCTTGCCACCTCAGCTTCCATGAGGTCGCGATTATGTTCATGCATCTTGATCTTGACGATATATTTTCGGACCTCTCGTTCGGCATAATCGTAATCGGCTTGGGTGGGAACATATTCGGGCTGAAGGCCTGAGCATCGAGAGAATTGCGGTTTGAAGCGAAAGGGATAACGTACTTGTGCTGGTTGAAACATCGAGCTTCAGCTGTGGACGTAGTCAACAATCAGTCCTGATCTTTCTCTGTAATCTCGTCTGTTTATACAGCACGCTTCATCGGCACCGAGTATCAGAAACGTGCAATTGGATGTGATTCGACATGGCAGTTTGTCTCTGCTCGCACGATCGAGCCCATTGACTTCATGAGAACACGATGGTGGGCCTGATATTGGTAGCTTCTATCGTCAATGACCGGCGCGGTCTCAATAAGTGGCAATCAGAAACTGCACGGCTTCGTGTAATCTCAGGCAGAGTATACTTGGCACTGGCAGTGGCAGTCTGGACTGAGATGGCTCACACGTGCTGACCGGTTCTAATCAGTGCGTCAAAGATCAGTCACATGACTTCGGCTGTCCAGAGATTACAGGCTTGGTCTTTCCCTCAACCTCGTAGCTTGCGTTCTATTCCATTGCTCTATGCGTGCGACGAAGGATATGGCTCAAAATTACCCTCTGAAAATCAGCCAACGACCGCTCTGGTTCTTCGATAACGAAGAGTTCTGGCGTTCCTGTCATCCATTTCTACTAGCTCGTGGCTATCAGCTGCGGCCTCGTTATGATCCCGATTGGAATCCCTCTTGGACTAAAGAGGGGGAAATTTTCTTTCAGGCGGAGCATAACATTCCCTCTATGAAGGTCTCGATTGAGCGTATTATCCCGTGTTTTGCTGAATCGCTGAGCAGGAAGCTGTACTGGACGCTACACGGATAGCGGACGGCAAGAAAGTAGTCTTGAAACGAATAGAGTCAGACCATCCGGAAATCGGTATCTGCCGACACCTCCAATCTTTGCGTGACGATCCTAGAAACCGGACCATCCCGATATTGGACTTCTTGGTACTACCGGAAACCAGATGGACAATAATCGTCATGCCTTACGCCCGAAGATTCACGTTTCCACCTTTTCACTGCCCTAATGAATTCATCGAAGCCATGACTCAATATCTCGAGGCAAGCTGTTCCACTTATGTCTGCTTTCAATTGACCCACTCGTCAAGGGTCTGCAATTCATGCACGATAACAACATTGTGCACTTGTAAATTCCTTTTTTCTCTGCTTTCGGCCTGAGCTTACCTTTGAGATCGGCTCATCCAGTGATATTGCTCCGCAAAATATGCTCATGGATGAGTCGGAAGTAGTTCCGCGAGGCTCTCACTTTGCATTACCAGAAACTCATCATGCAAAGCTCGCATTTTTCTATTGGAGGGATCGATGCTCCGTTGGCCCTACGCAATACTACTATATCGATTTCGGCCTTTCTCTATATTTTCCGGAAGGGAAGGAGTCGGCACGTCACCTAGGGACCCTTCGGACGTTTCCAACCATTCCTGAACTATCCGATGATGTTCCGTATAATCCATTCTACGTTGATATTTATCAACTGGGATTGACAATGCAGCGAGTAATCAATGTATGTGTGTCGATTTCTGTCTCAAGTCTCACCTGTTCAACGGATCTCACTCAGGACTATTACGGCCTCGAAGATTTCCTCCCAGTCGCAGTGAAGATGCTGGTACTGGATCCCCAAGCACGTCCAGAGCCCAGGGCATCATTGGAACATATGCGATCCATCGCGAGCAAAATATCTCCGTCAAGGCTGTCTGGACAAATATGGGAAAAGAATGTTGGATATTGGAAGAAATTGTCGCGGTGGTTGTGGGGTGGGTTTCCATTCGAACCGGGCCGTCATTGCTAGTTAAAATCTGTCCATCATGACTGCGTGAATTGGGGTCCATGTATATCTGGATACGCAAATCTATGAATGCGGGTAGAGGTCGCAATCGATTACTTATTTACGCGTTCCATTGGGAATTTCCTAGCGCCAAGTTTTCAAAGCTGGGGAGATCTGCCTCTCGTGCCTCTCACACGCTCTCGACTCATGCTTCCGGATGCAGATGGTGTTTGACAGATGACTCGACTTTGTGTCAGGCAGGAAGTTCGTTAGGACCGAGGACTGACGCGAGGCGTGAGATTTTGGGAAACCCAAGAAAATCACGTTTGGTGACTCGAAGGGGCGGTTATCCGTGGGAGCTCGGCCGTCCGTGTTGAACTCTTGCGTCGATTCAATGTATTTTCGTTCGATTGGGGTGTACACGCATGTGTAATGCTATTTTATCGCCATCTACATCAAGTCATAATTTTGATTGTGGGACCCCTGGGATCCGAGTTTCTCATACACACACTCTCGAGTCATACTTCTGAATCGAGATAGTTTGGGAGATGACTCGAACTTCTTTCAGGGCTGGTAGATAATCAGGAAGAAGAGCTGGCACGAGGCATTAGATGCGCGGAGATTGAGAACAAACACATTCGGTGACTCAAAGGAGAACAAAAGTATCTTCATTCCAGCGTGAGAGAATAAATGACTCACTGGATGGTCATCGAATTCAGGGTGTGAGTTCAGGCGCCGTTCTGGTCGTCACCCAGGGCAGCAGGCGTCCGAATCGATTGACTGTGAATTGGTGTCATGCCAGTCCTTATGCCATGGAATACAAATACAAATGCTTTGGAATTTTAACAACAAGAAATTACACCTCCTGTTCCCAGCCCAAGTCTTCGCCCTTGTCGCTCTCTTCGTCTTCGTCGTCCTCTGGCGGTGCGGCAGCTGTAGACTTGGGTGTCCTCCGGATCAAGGGAGGTGCCGGCTCAGCTTCGCCTTCGATTACAACGAGATTCTGCATGCCTTCATCGTCATCTTTGTCGTCGAAAGTATACAATTGGCTGTCGTCCTTCTCGTCGTATGTCGGACCTTCCACCAGAAGATTACGTAACGCGTCATAATTAATACGCTTGCTGTATCGGCTGTTTTTCTTCACGAGCTGCTCGGCCGAGTCGGCCGCAGAGTCCGCTGTAGGATTTGACGTGTCGCGTGGGACATTGGAAGTTGTCTTCCGGCGCTGTAAAGATAAAGGTGTTAGATAAAAGAACGTCACGGCTGGGATTCGAACCTTCTTCGATTTAGTCGCCTGCTTCTCCTCGTCCCCCTTAGCTGCAAAGTAACCACTCAACAAAACAGAACTTCACGGCGGTGGCTGTGATTGGGTGTACGCACCTGCCAATGCTTCAAGGTAGTCTCTGTTCAGTTCCACCCAGACCCGTTCCTTGACCTTGACCTCGTCTTCCGTCAAGATGAATCGATCGAGCTCGTCCTCGTTGAGACCCAAAAGCTCGTCAACGGTCTCGAACTGAGCTATCCGACGCGCCTGTGCCTCGTCTAAAGCAGACGAGAGCATCGCGCCCTGAGTATTCTCAAGATAGTTCGTCATTTCTTCTGACAACGCTTCGGATAGAGAAGTCTCTGCGGCAGATGACGAGTTGACGAGTGTGCGATCAGTCGAAGGTGGAAACAATAGTGCTGGGTCGATGTTTGGATCATCCTTGTCAGCGACCAGATTCATTTCCTCGTCAAGATCTGGCAAAAACAGCGGAACGGCGGAGGTGCCAGCGAGGATGCCAGCATTGAGATCCGAAGGATCTAAAGGAACTCGCAGGGGTGTAGTTGCATCGACACCGTCCGTTTTCGATGCCTCTATCTGCTCATCATCCTGGTCGCTTTCCTCTCGTTTCCGTTTTCCCTTCTTTTTCTTCTTTCCTTTCACTTTCCCCTCTGGTTCTTTGGAACCGCCCATCAGGGCCTCATCAGCAGCCTCCGCCACAGCAAGTCGGTCCTCCTCTTCCTTCTGCTTATTCCGTGTGTAGGCCGGCGGATCAACCTCCTCATCGAGCCACACACTGCGGAAATCGGCAAGTGTCAGTTGCCCGCTTGGCGTATTCTTGAACTCATCCAGCCGCTTTTTCAGGGTCGTATCAGCGATCTTGACCACTTGCACGATCTCCTGCACCGATCGCCGGAAGTTGTTCATCCGGGCTGCGAGGAGCAACGCAGCACCGCAAATTCCCGCAGGGCGTCGGCCACATCTCATCCAGTCGCGATCGAAGCGCTGGACCAGCCGGATGGCGTCGACAGACACTTTCGGTGTTTCGTCCCCGAATTCGAGCAGCGCGGCAAAGCGTGCGATGTAGTGCGAGGGATCGACCAGGGGAAGGCGCAGGTTGAGTGTCTGCACCAGTTGTAGATACGTGTGGCCCAATTCGAAAACATTGACCTGTGTACGAAATGAGTTAGGTTTACAGCTAAAAGATAGGTCCGGTACCTGGAGCAAGTCGGAGAAGTCGATCAGCATATGATTGTAGGTCTCTTTCTGCCGGCAAGCGATATAGAGGCAGACTGCGACCACATTCATGCTCTTCCTGCCCTTAGTGAACTTGTGCTCAACGGCCAATGTATACATGCGCAGCGCCGCATTTGAGATTGTCTCTGATAGTCGAAGTACGGAGGAGACCATGTGGATCTTCTTGGAAGCTGCGGTGAGAATGAGTACGATACGAATGAGAAGATAGAGAAGAAACACTTCACACCATTCTCTAATGTCTGCGCCCTTGAGTCTCCGTTCCCCCGATTGCCGTAGGGACCGCCGAATCTAGCACCAGCTTCAGAGGCCATCAGTCTCTTTAGCCAGAAGGATCATCGAGCACGTACTGGCTCCTTGCCCCACGAATGAGCCTTGCACCATCGCCCCACCGCTCGATGTTTCCCCGAAGGTTATTTCACTGACGATCGTGTTCTCTTCTACGACCATGCCGCAGGCCACGCAGACTCCGTTCCCTGCAGCCATGTCGTACTCTAGTACCGTCCCACCGCATTCGCTGCATGAGCTCGGCTGGACGCAGCATAAATACTTGTGCGACATGCATAATATGAGCCAACCTACCATGATGGGATCCGCCGCTAAGATATCGAGTCGCCTAAGCCTTGGCTGTGTCGAATAAATGAGTGCGAGTCATGATCCAGAATGGACGGCGGACTTTTTCGGATATCCCTTGATCAAATAAGACAAAGATCCGTCAAAGAAAATGACGCGAAATTGAAGTGCGAATAAGGATAAAGAGAAAAACTGAGAGAGCTCGGAGAAAGAGGTTTCAGATCTCGAAGAAAGCGTCAAGCGAGCCAACTTTGATTGATAGTATGAGTCAGCAGCACTGCCACGCTTAACATGTCGGCGCGCACTGTCTTCTGGCCTCAAAATGTCCGTACAACTGGCTTTTGTTACGGCTGGACCGCGCCAACACTTTGTGTTGCTGCCGTCTCCACGGATGCCTGGGTAAAAGACGCGTCATGTGCGGATGTTCGGGCTCTGACGCGTTGCAGGAGGACTGGGGCGACGATGCGCAATGGGTTTCCTGTGGAGGTCCTCCGGTGTACCTCGGACAGTGTGTCTTTGATCCCGGAAATGTGCATCCAAATCTAGAATTTCCGGATCTGAGGTATCTACACGGTTCCAATACGTGAACAGATTCCTCACTCCCTTCCAGTGAATATACGATCATCTATTACCGACGTCATCCTACATCCTCCCTTCGATTTCACGTCCTTGAGCCACCGACGCCGCGGACAAACCCGCAGGCCCGCAGTCTCGCATTCGCGAAACTACGAGCGCATGACTTCACACGTCCTTTGCCAACAGAAAGTCAAGGTATCGACAGCCTTGTCGTCAAACAGGTTAGTGAGCCGTGGACTCTTCTCCAGGTCTCATAACCATCTGTGTAGTTCAATGCAGCACATGCGGTGTATGATATCATTGGGGCAGCTGGACTGCACAAGCTCACGTTCCAATATTTCTTCGCGGTCGTTGTGACGATACTATCGGTCCCGAAACGATGGCTTCCCACTCCAAACTCTACCTTTGCTGGTCTCATGGGAGTATTATCAGAGCTATCATCCACCGGTGAGCCCCTCAATTCCGCTTGAAAACGATCTGATGAGCCCAGTCCAGCAGCTTGACGCCCGAACCCGACATTTGGTATTCCTGAGCCAGACAGCATATTCTCTACGTGACCGGGATCTTGTCGATGTTCCGGCCTATGCGCGTCGATACATCACGTCTGTTTCAGCTTTCTTACAGGAGGCTCTGCTCACTCACGCACCCAGTTTCTTCAACACCGTCTGGCTTATTCTGAACGATGTCACAATCGGCGTCGCTTTCGGCTCATTTTTGTCCGAAAACAGTGCTGCTATCGCGGGTCTTGTAGATGGCTTTGTCCAGGTCAATACCCTGTCGCTTTCCATCGCAGCTGATCGTGACAATCAAACAACAGACCCAGCTGATTGGGTATCTCCTCTCCACGCTGCAGTGGCTCGATTCTTGGCCCGCAGGCTTGAAACTCAACACCGAGCTCAGTGCAAGTTATGCCCGAGCTTTTAGTGGATTGATCACTGTATGGGCAAGTATGTGATAGATCCAGTCTGTGCCTATATTCCATCACTCACCACGCGTCAGCTTGTTTACGACATCTGGCCCCTGGTCTGCAGACCACGCTTGGAGTTCTCGGCCTGCTCACTTCCTGGTTCGGTTTGAGTACCGGACTTGCAGCTGCAGCTGATCTGCTGGCCTTTGTTACCATGCACATAACATTGTGTTACTTCGTCACACGGTTCCTCTATGCGTGGATGCTGACAACGGCGGGATCACTGTGGAGACTGTTCCGAGGTCACAGTTTTAGCTCGTTGCTGGGGTCTTGGCTCAACGTTAGATCTAGGCAAGCGGTACAACGTACTGCGAAATCGTAATGATACCTGGGAGTATGACACCGATCAACTCCTGCTCGGCACCATCCTGTTCACTCTTCTGACGTTCTTGTTCCCCACTGTGCTTGTGTATTACGCTCTCTTTGCGGTGGTGCGTCTTATCCGCTCATACGGAAGTATTTCAGGCTGATCACGACCAGCTGCGTTTTGGGACGCTGCTTCTGACCGCGTTGTTGGAGACGCAGATCGCGCTTATGAACACATTCCCCCTGTTTGCTCTGATGCTTCGCGTGAAAGATCCATGGCGGCTACCTGGTAGGTCTACGATGTATCAATGAGAGCGTGTTCTGATAAGGGATGACAGGAGGGATATATTTCCACGTAGGCTCCACTCTCACCATCAAAGTAGGAAGAATGCGACTGGTAGACGACCGATCTCTGACCTGTGCCATAGAATCAGCCTGTACCTTTGTCCACCATCTTTGTGCAATACGGCAAGTGACACGTACGGCACACTATCAGCAAATGACACTGACTCCTTGGGCAGTCCGTCTCTGTGCGAGACTCGCGGCACATTACAATCCTCTACGTCTCCTGTGGTGTGTTCTTCGTGGCGACCTGTTGGCGGCTATACCTCGGACCGAGATGCTGGTGGATTGAGTGACTGGACTGGGCAGATCGTGAGGATCCTCCCTGGTTCATGGAGCCTCTCAGTCGCGCGCAGTAATGTGGCAAGTGCACATTGATGCGGGATACTCGGACATGGACAACTCGCCGCCAACTGTTTCAAGCTTTCTGGAAAGTCTCCACTGCATCTGAAGTACAGAATTCATACAACCGTCATTCATACGTTATATGGCCGTGTTCCGGCCCTCCAATCGTGAAACACCCTGAGCTAGTACAGCACATTCTCTGGGGAATGATCGACATGCCCACCACGCCTACACCCCGCGACCACGTAGCAAGGCAGCGAGGACTACTTATGACTTGGCATTCTGATACCCTCGAACATCCCTTCTTCCTTCCACTGTTACTGCCGGCACAGATGCCCTCGACAGTCGCCCTGGCCTATGTGTGTCTCGGAGGTTTTGTTGTAGCTGTGCGTCCGTGGTGTCACCAGCACAGCACTGTCGCTCAGAACAGCGTGACCAGTTCTCAATGGGTGCTCTACTAGTCCGACAAAAGGTTATTTCTCGGTCTGGACATGCATCCGGCACGGTAACCTCTGAGTCCTGCAGCTCTGCATCAACGAGGTCGTGGTCGCGACTCTCTTCGGTATACTTGTTGGGCCGTATTGCGCCAATATCTTCAATCCCCACGACTGGGGTGCCGAGTCGAACAAAATCACTCTCGAAGTTCTGCGGGTGGTGCTGGCTGCCGGTCTGTTCGCGATTGGGGTCGAGCTGCCGAAAAGTTACATGGCCCAGCACGCGAAGGGGCTGCTGATTCTCGTCGTGCCAACGATGGCCGTTGGCTGGTTCGTTGTTGCAGGCCTGATACACGTCCTGTTCCCCAAACTTGAGTTTGTGTCGTGCTTGGTTATCGCCGCGTGTCTGACCCCGACCGATCCGATCATCTGCGCGTCCATCGTAGGTGGAAAGTACGCCGCCAGGCATGTCCCGCTCAAGCTGCGCCAAGTCATCTCGGCCGAGTCTGCTGCCAACGATGGGCTGGCATACCCCTTTCTTTCCATCTCCCTCTACTTGACGCTCGAGGCTTCTCGGGCGGAGGCATTCAAGAAATGGGTCCTCGTCGGATGGCTCTGTGCGTCATCCGTGCGCTGTCCATGGCCTGTATGCAGCTGATTTCTTGAGCAGACCAGGTCATCCTCGGGAGTGTCATTGGTGCTGCACTGGGTAAGTTCCGGAATGAGCCATGATCGACGACGAGCGCTAACTCAGAGCCAGGCGTGGGCTTCTCTTATCTCATGAAGGTTTCATATCGGAAAGGATATCTAGATCGCGAATCTTATGTTACCCAATATCTGGCGATGGCGCTGTTAGTCACGGGTGATGAGATTCTTGCCGATCTCCATTATCGTAATCTTATCCTATCTGATTAGGTGCTGTCAACGCGATAGGCAGTGACGATCTGCTTGCCGCTTTTGCCGCAGGTGCTCGTGTGCAAGACATGCAATGCCTCAGACTCACTGTCAATCCCAGGTAGCGCGATATCTTGGGATGGTCGCTTCAATGATGTCACCGAGGACGAGATCTTCTGGCCAGTGATCGACCTCGTCCTCAACTGCGCGTGTTTTGTGTACATCGGCGCCTGGATTCCATTCGGATCCTTCGATCGGCCTGCGCTGGGTATCACGCCCTGGCGATTGACGGCACTGCTGATAGCTGTCATAATCGTGCGCCGGATCCCTGCTGTGCTGATGTTGTACCATTGGGTTCCGGAGATCGAAGGTTGGAGGGAAGCCCTGTTTGCAGGACATTTTGGGCCGGTAAGAGATGTGAAGTTATATAAAATCTATTATTGACTCTGTTTCACTCAAGATGGGTGTCGGCGCGGTCTTCGTCTCCACCATGGCTCTCACTCGGCTTGCGCCCCCACAAAACGGCGACGACCCCGAGACACAAGTTGCCATTCTTGCTATGTGTCTCCAGCCGATTGTTGCGTTCCTTGTTCTCGGGTCCATATTCATTCGTGAGTTCCTGCCTCATGTCATGCTCCAAAACGCATGCTTATTTGTGTGCAAAGATGGGCTCTCAATCCCGCTCTCGTGTTTCCTCCGAAGCATTGTCAAGCCACCTCTGGGGATGAACACATCACCAGCATCCACCGTCGTTGCTCCCGTAATAGAACTTGAGTTGGACAGGACGAACTTCGGCCGCGATAAAGTTTACTCAACTGTGCTCGGCGCACACGCGACTGGCGAAGATGCGGATCCACGAGCAGGTCCCGATGCTGCACAACCCCACGACTGCGATCCATAAGTTGATCTGAATGTGTCTGTATTTATGGATAAACAGAGTAAAAAGACTGCTCGATTGTTTCTGGACCGCTGCCACGAAAGTGGCTACATTGCTTTGCTATCATCACAACGGAAGCTTGCAGACAGCACGCCGATACTCGTAGGAAAGCACAGCCAATCCGTGGGCCAGTTATGGCGTGTTCTCTGCCCTTGTCGTCGACAAATCCAGCGTCCACGTCAGGAGCTATCCGACAGGACGGAGAGTATTGAGTGGTCCGTCCTTGTAAGATGCTGCTCAACCCAATACGAGTTCAAATCGAGATCCTTCTCGTCCGGTGCAATAAAGACGAGACCCAATGGAACACCCAACTGCCCAAACGAGCCGGCCAAGGGCTAAGGTCGCTCTGCTAACAGCTCCGCGCTCGAGATGAAGTAATTATGCATTTGTGCGTTCTCGTAGAGGCGAGCAGCCAAAACGCATTCGGTCGTTTCTCCGCCGCCGACGATGCGGATCTATGTGCTTCCCGAAATGCAGGTCAGGGTTTAGTAGGTACCGCGAATGTGGTTCCGAATCTGAGATGTCACCCCGACGTAGTGACCTCAAAGGTCACACGCAGGCCCGCGGAAACTCAAGGACCAAAGACTGTTTTACTTTACGAAAATTGCCATTTTGGGGTAGTTTTACTTTAAATTTCGAGGGACCCCTCAGTTTTTGTGCATACGTTCACGTGAGGTCTTTTTTGAGCTCTTGGACTGAGATTTACTGCACGTTCTGTGCTTAAATGGGTGAGAGCTGGGAAAAAGCGAGGGGAACTTGTCTGATCAGCTCCGCTTTTAGAACATTTCTCTCCCCCTCAAGTCCGAAACCGCTCAACTGGGGGCTGTTTTACGCTAAATTCTGAGGTACCTTGGCACATTTTGACCCGTTTTACTTTATTCTACTGAGTGAGGTTGGGCCATTTTTGGACCTTGTTTTACTTTATTTTTGAGTGACATAATACTGAGTTTCCGCGGGCCTTCACACGCCTTACAAAATGGAATCGCGCACGAGCGCCAGGTGCTCGCTTCGAAGACATCATTCTGTACATATCGAGGCATATCTACGGGCAAAATCATCTATATTGTAGGGCAAATTCTTTCCTCCCAGACTCTTGACACGTCTGTGGTCAAATAGTCCGACTATACCACGTGACCGGATCGCGGAACGGGATGGAATTTTCCCGAGTCGAGAGTACTAAGTAGTAACGGGGGCGTGTCAGTGTACTTACACATGCCAGGCTCCGACTCCAAAGTGTGGTACATGTATGAGGGAAGGATAGAAGGTGCAATACACCAGGAACGAGGAGAAATGAACGCAAGAATGAAGAGAAAGAATGGATTTGCTCAGGATGTCTGTACACACCTCAATTCTTGCCCAATCCCGCCCTAACTCGACAATTCCCATTAACAAGTGGAATTGAAGGTCCATGTACGATACGAAGGTGAACGGAGAGAGAATGAACGAGTTTGAGAGGGTTACCACTCGTCCATTTTGCCATCTGATGCGCGCTGAGAATTTGTTCTTGTTTAGTGTGAATCTCCACCCCTTTAGCCGATGATTGCTCGCTTCGCTCGCAATAACTGATATTGCATTTGTTGTGCTCCGATCGCCCAAACTGCGATCTGCGGAGGTACAGTTTGTATCCTAAACGGAGAGATGTTCCAACATCTCACTCTCTCAAGTCCCAGATACAGAGATGAAATGAATTGCACGACATGCGTCGGTCCTGATACAGTGATGCTATATGATGTGCTGTGCAGAGAGGAACAGAGACTATAAATACGAGCGCAGAAGCGGGTCAGTCAGTATGTAGATGGATCTCGAAGCTTGAAAGCTAGGGCAGTGCCAAGACACCTCCCAGTCTTACACGACCAGGCAGCGCTTCTGCTTCACCATCTTGCCCCACTTGCCGCGCATGCTCTCCTTGAGTGCGAGATTGAACACTTCATGTACGCCAGTCCCCGTCTTCGCAGAACACTCGATGTACTTGGCACCAATCTCCCTTGCCACTGCGGACCCCTGTTCCGGAGAGACGGGTGTTTGGCCCTGAGCGGAGAGCATACGGCGCGTTTGTTCGTCGCGGCGGAGATCCGTCTTGGTAGCAACGAGAATCAGAGGCGTGCCCTCGCAGAAGTGTGCCACTTCAGGATACCACTACGTAACGCGCGGTCAGTCTGAAGGACGCGTCCCCCGTTGAAGAGCTCGCACCTTGTCTTGCACGTTCGCGAGACTAGTGGGGAAGTCGACGGAGAAGACGATGAGAATGACGTCGCTTTCCGGGTAGCTCAGTGGTCTCAGTCTATCGTACTCCTCCTGCCCGGCAGTGTCCCACAGTGCCAACTCGATATCTTTGCCTTCGAAGTTGACCTGCGTCACGTAGTTCTCGAAGACGGTGGGAATGTATGCCTGGGTGCAACCATGGGATTGAGATTGGACAGACAAGCACGCGACGCACCTCCGGGAATCGATTTTCAGCGTATACGATCAACAAACAAGTCTTCCCGCAGCCACCATCACCGACAACGACAAGTTTGCGCTTCAAATCCGGTCGCCGGTTGCTTTGTCCTTGAAACGAGTTTTCCATCTGGCCGTAGCGTGCGCACGGCGGTGTGCGCCGTAGTCCAAGTTTACTATGGATCACGTGGCCGTCTAGATGCGATCTATCGCTCTCTTGAGATAAGATAACAAAGGCGCAGACCTCCGATCGAAGAAAGTGAATACTCGGATACTCTGGAATATATATATATGTAAATCAAACAACAAGAGTAAGGTTTATAGTACATTCATGTCACGTAACAATATCAAGATCTGGCCACATTCTGATAAGCAATGCTCTGTTCAGCATATTCCGGTAAGAATAGTCGCGATTGCTCTTGAAGCATCCACCTGCGAGCAAATGAGGGTCAATAGCATAGAGAAAATGGGACAGCTCATACGCAAGCAATTCGTTTACGTATTCTCGTACAATATCAACCGACTCCCCATCCAAGGTTGACTGCGAGACCATTGCCGGAAGAATGACTGCAACCAGTTGTCAGAGCCAACGATTCCAAAAAGCAGAAGAATGCAGACCGAGCATTCGCAACAGATGCTCAGCCCCGTAGATTTCGCTCATTTCCTTCTCTTGTCCAATCACAACAGCTTGTCCAGTGATATATTTAGCCCGGATTTGAGTATACTGAGGACGTTCCACGCGATACAGTAGATGGTTGGCGAGCGATCGATCAAAGTAAACCTGCAAACCAGAGATGACAGTGGGTGCGAGAAGGTTGGGATCTTTGAGGCTGAATGGTGTGAAAGATCGATCTTGAGACCAAAACGCACGACTCACTGCGGTGGGGGCGTCTCCGTGAGATACTTTTCAAAGTCTTTGAGCAGTTGACCAACGCTAGGATTTCGCGGCAAAGTTACGAGCTAGAGCAGAAGGTCAACACCGTCGCACAGAGCAGGGGGATGCAGACTTTGTTGTCTTTGGTGACTGTCTCGTAGTCATCAACAAGTTTGGCCTTGATCTGCTCTGGAACATTGAGCTTCATGTCGGGCGCCCGTGCTCCATCAGCCTGCAGGACATTCAGCTTCGGAGTAGGCAGAGGAACAATGAAGAACACTTGCAGCATCGCGCCCCCGTTTAGTTCCGCGTGTTGCCGTCTCCTTACGTGCAGAGCGGGTACTTGCGCTAGCCACCGATGCTGACAATATGTCTTTCGCAGCTCCAGCAGTACTCGACTTTTGATTTGCCCGGTTAGAGGAGGTCTTGGCTGACTCTTCCTTTTGAACGGACTTCTGGGTTATCCGATTCTGTTCGTTATCCTTCAGGAGACGCGCAGCAGGCACCCATTCGTCCCATCTACAGAGAATTTTCCGTCAAAACGCGCTCAGAGATCACTGCCGAGGCGCGCACGTCGTCTTCCAGCCTTTGTAGTGTACAAAGTAATGCTGTCCATCTTGACCCGTTATAGTATTTTTCTCGTCCGGCTCGGCAGGTTGAGCTTTGAGTACTTTAGCGACGTAGATGAGGGGGCCGTGGTAGCAGAGGACATTCTCCCCTACGGTGAATGTGGGTGTGTCCATGAGCGAGATGTGTATTTGCTGGTGATTGGCTCCTAAGATCATTTTATGTTTCTCCCTCTCGCGCGACCTGTAGCGCGTCCGCTCGCCTTCCTCCGACTTTCCACGCGAGCGCCCAACGCAGTGCGTGGATATGCATCTACGCCTACCATGTCGGTCATGCTGTGAACATGGTGGAACGGACCCTCATGGATTCACAGAGACAAGGACATTCGGAACTTGCTGGAGGCGGAGAAACTGAGGTGCGTCTGCGTCGATTGACCTTCGTATCATAGACTCAAGTATCAACAGTCGCAATGACCCAGATTTCAATAGGTACAATATAGAAACATATCGGAGACCATTCTAAAGAACAGCACATAGTGAAGCGGATAGCTTTCTGAACTCCCCACCTCCGCCCATTCCGGGGTACAAACTTTCTCTCAAACTGCCACCGTGTTCCTGAATCACTCCACAGAGAGTCCAATCTCGATAGAGACGGCAACCGAATTCATCGAGCATCCGTGCTAGATCCACCAAAGTGCGGGACAGTCTGCGACCCAATTTGTGCCGTCTTCTCAACTTTTTGTAGGGTTGCCAGGTCTTCGAAAGAGCTCTTTGGTACCCAGTAAGTATATTCTGCATGTGTCGACTGAAGCTGAAGACTAGCAGACAACGCGCAACGCTACAGACTCTGCCCAATGGCTTCAACACCAGGTCATTGCCTCTTCGAGGACCGTTACCTGAAGATTGTTCAGAAATTCAATTCGCCTCGACTGTCGTACACGGACGCTCCATCCATAGACCCTTCCGTCACCCTCGTACTCACGGCCTTCCTGCTGCACAAATTCAATTCCGGTCGCACGACCCGTTGATGATGTCGCTCTTTGTCCACTTTGCAACGCATGCGGCCTACTCTCTTGGCATTCCTTGTTCGCGGATGTACTCCCTTCCGACGCAACGCACGCTCTGGACTGTGCCCCGTGGTCCTTTCGTGCACAAGAAGTCGCAGGAGAATTTTGAGCGTAAAGTTCATCGGCGCGGAATCTCAGCTTGGGACGCAGATCCTCATGTTGTCGACCTGTGGTTCAAATACCTTCGAAGGCATGCAATGGGTGGTGTTGGCATGCGATGTGTCAAGTGGGAACGGTTACCGATGGGTGTGGGCAAGAAAATGCTGGCCCAGGTCGAGCATGGTTTGAACAAGTCCGACGCTAAAACATCCAAGAGCCGCATACAGAGCATGGGTGACAAGATTGTGGCTCGGGAGATGGGTGTCGCACGCAAATCCTCAGACAACGTGAAGACGGTAGAGCACAATTGATTGTTCCTCATCCTATCTATCTTACAGTATGAATGGAATCATGGCTCTGCGGTTGCGAGGATACTTGTCCCCAAACTCTTTCTTGTAGTTGCGGTGTTTCTTCAGAGCCCATTGCACCATCTGCCCTGCACTAAAGACCCAGAAGATGCCCGCTGAGGATGTAAGTGAATAACGGGCCGCAGTAGGGATGAATACAAAACGGACCTCCGATACTGCCCGTCATGCCCAACACCGCAGTCCACGCCAGGATCTCGAAGAAGTAATTGGGAGCTGCCAAATTGAACGGCGCGGAGAACCCGTATCCCATCGGGACTGCGCGAGTGGTGGTGCCTGCTGGTCGTAATGCACGGGTTATCATGTGCGTTTTGAAGTTCGACAATTCAGCGAACTAGATTCAAATGAGATCGTGAAGACTTTGTTCTCGCTGTTGTTCTGAGCTTACCGCCCACAAAGCCCACCCAAGTGTGAGGATTGGTCCATCGCGCCAAGTACCCGCAACTAGAGGTGCCGAGAAGCGAGGACGGTAGATATCATAAGCAATGAAGACACCCGAAAGCAGCCAGTAGTGAGCAGAACTAGAACAGGTTATTGCCAAGAATCAGAAACGACAAAGCACGCGCTTTTTGAAGATGTTTCTGGCGGGCATGGTCGCATGCGAGAATCTGTGAACACTGGGAGCAGGCTGATGAGAGCCTATATCGTCAGGAAGCAAGTGACATACAACAGAGTCTCTAGTTCCCGCTTCACGAAGTGTAAGATACACATGGCATAGACGGACCTAGTAGTCGTCAGAATCAACGCAATTACTTCATGAGAGCAACACACTTCTGCAACGCGCTATGCTGCACATCGGTTCTATATATGAGTTGTGGAAGGTGGTAGAAAAGGGGATGGATGATGAGTGGTCCCAGCTTCGTTCGATGAGACGGGTGGACAAATTGGATGATAACGGAAACACGCACGTATTCAACCACAAAGACCGTCTTCCAGGCAATCTGTGGCCCCAAGTCACCCAAAACCAACTCGGCTTTCCCCGCAGGTCCAAAAATGATGACAGACTCGTCGGAGAGTGCCTTGGGTGCTTCAGGGAGGGAGACCTTCTGTCTATCGACGTAAAGCTAGACACGTGTGTGTGAAGGGAGGTAAATGGCCGTGCGAGGGATTCCAACCTTGGGGAACGCTTTAGCAATGGAGGCTTTTACATCCCGAACGGTGGGTGGCGGAGAAGGCGGAAAGGTGAGCGTGATAGGTAGTTTTAGAGAGCGCAGAAGGGATGTTTTCTTGCGGCCGGCATAGACTTCCACTTGGATGGTCGCCGGGGCCTCCATGATCAGGTGTAAACACAGAGCGCTGAGATTCCGAGACCTCGGATGATGGCTGAAAGAAACCAGTCGATCCGTTACCATCATCATTGCCATCACGATTCGGTTCCCTTGCTCTCCGCTCTCTCTTTCGATTTCAAATACTAGGGCGTCGGGCCGACGCGAATGTCCTTCTACGGGTCGTCTGGAATTCACGTATCCGGTAGTCCACGCTCGCTGGAGCCCTCACCGACGCGGAAGAGGAATAGCTGGGGACAAGAGTATCCAAGCGACCGCGACCGTCCTCAAGACGATCCTTTTTATATGCCAGAGGATCCCTGGAGCCAGACTCCACTGGACACGCTTCGTTATGGCACACCGCCGGCGGACGATGCGTCCTCGACTCTGGCAGGTCCGTCTTCCGCAGTCGCATCGCTTTATGGAGACGACGACGAAGCACGGCTTACAAACCACCGCGAGGAGGACTCGGCAGTGCGGAGGCAGAGGACATTACGATATAGCACTTCACCATCACCTTTGAAAAAGACCGGGACGGCAATCAAGCATGTGTCGCAAAACCTTCGCAGAGTGTCTGTTCGAGTGGTGAATATGGCGTCTGTTGGTCTAGAGAGGTTACCGGACGACAAAAGAGACGAGGAAGATCAAATTCCCAACCTTGCGACGTCGTTGCCGCTCCGTGGTCGGACATTGGGAATCCTCGGCCCCACCAACCCTCTCCGCTTGCTATGCTTCAACTTCCTCGTGTATCCCTGGACGGAACCTATCATCCTGTTACTCATCATCTCCAATGCCGTGCTCCTTGTTATCCAGTCCTCAAGGACACTCACGCTCTCTGACCCACCCCTGACAGTGCGAGGCTACTTTCACAGTTGGGAAGACTACGCCCTTTTCGCTCTTTTCGTTGTCTTCACCCTCGAGGCCTGCGCACGAATATGCGTTTCAGGTCTTCTCTTCGATCCAGAAATACCGCCTTCCCTCATATTTTCCAAATCCTTCACCCTTCCCTTGGATGACAAGCTGCTAGAGAAACAGGCACCACCAGCAGAGACTTTATCTCTCCCGTTCAAGCTCACCATCAGCTCCAACACTTCCCTCATACGTCGTAACGCACCGTACCTCCGCCACAGCTGGTCCCGGATCGACTTCGTGGCCATCGTCTCGTACTGGGCTTCGTTTGTACTTGCGACCCTCGGGGTCGAGAACGGTGCCCGCCACGTGCGAATCTTCCGAGCATTCAGTGCGCTACGTACCGCACGGCTGTTGACCATCACTCCGGGTACCACTGCGATTCTGAGCAGTCTCAAAACCGCCAGGCCTTTACTCGCCGGGGTGGCGTACTTTGTTCTGTTTGCGATGATTGTGTTCAGCGTCATTGGGGTCCAAACATTCAAGGGCTCTCTTCGTCGGACCTGTGTGCTCGATGCCACGCTTGGAGAACCCGACACCGTATTGGACAGCCAATTCTGTGGAGGCTGGATTGAACCTGTGTCTCTGAACGTGACACCGTACATCACTGCAGGGGGTCAGGTTTCCCACAATGTGAAAGGATTTGTGTGTCCCCTTGGCCAGACTTGTAGGGAATCTGATCAAAATCCGTTGAGCGGTGTCGAGAGTTTCGACACAATCTATTTTTCGGCCTTGCAGGTAATCATCATTGCCTCCGCGAATGGAGTGAGTCTCTTTCTTCTTCTTCATGAAAATAGACTGACATACTCTGCTAGTGGTCGTCACTGATGTACCAAATAATCGATGCTGAATACTTTGTCTCATCCGTCTTCTTCATCCTCTGCGTGATTGTTCTCAACTTCTGGCTCATCAACCTTTTCGTCGCGGTCATTACGAACACATTCTCGGCTATACGTTCCGAAACCAAGACGAGTGCATTCGGGGCCGGAAACATGGAGTGAGCGTCGTCATCACCCGTCGCCCAACAACTGATCAGCGTGCAGTCTTACGCCAACTGACACCGCAGACGATGATGGCTGGGCAGCCCGGCCCCCAGCTCGTCGACATGCCAATCCAGCGACAGTCGTCATCAAATACACGCGCTGGATATTCGTGGCCCTTGCGCTTGCGTCACTGGCTCTGCAGGCTACCCGAACCCCCGAGATCTCTGCCCACGAAGAACATGTACTTTTGCTCTCAGAGCAAATCATCACTCTTGCGTTTGATATCGAAATCATTCTCCGTCTGCTGGCGGCACTTCCCGATTGGCGGTCGTTTTTCGGCCTCGGATTGCAGAACAAGAGCAAGAAAGCCTCCGCTACTGACCGCGAACGAGACAATGGTGCTCCGGGACCAGGACAGAATTGGCTCGATCTGTGTCTGGCAATTGCGAACAGTGTGATCCAAATACCTGTTATCAGGCAGTCCTCGGTGTATCCTTGGTTCACGATATTCCAGCTCATGCGGTTCTATCGCGTCATTTTGGTCGTTCCACGCATGAAGCCTCTGCTGGTTGGTGCCGGAAATGCTTTTCTCCGCCGTGGCTGATACATTTCCAGCTGGCCGTGTTTGGCAACATGTATGGTCTGGCCAACATGACGCTCTTCCTCATGCTCATGAATCTGATTGCTGCTCTCATCGCTGTCCAATTTTTTCGTGGAGATCTCGACTCTGGCGAGACGATGAACTTTAGCACATTGTTCAATGCGTTCCTCGCCGTTTACCAGGTCTTTTCCTCCGAGAATTGGACAACTGTTCTGTACACCACTGCAGCGGCCGAGGAGATTTTTGGACAGAGTATTATCACCGTGTTGTTCGTTAGCGCTTGGATGCTTTTTGCCAACTGTGAGTCAAATACTTCCGCTTTGCCTGACTGACAAGCGACAAGTCATCGTGCTCCAAATGTTCATTGCTGTGATCAACGAAAACTTCGATGTGGCGGAAGAGGCAAAGAGGGGCAAACAGGCCACCAATTATTGGGAAGAGGCACATCGACCGACCAATGGCAGCGCGAGCTGGATCCGGAAGTTAAATCCATATCGCTGGGTCAGAGCGAATCCGGTCCAAGTCAAAGTCGAGGCGCTTCCGGCGAACTTGGTGCTTCCTATTCAGAAGAGTCTGGTGCAAGAGTATAATGTTCCTAAAACGGAGATGATGAGCGAGGTGTGCCGCGTCGATACTGCCCTGAAGATCTTAGCTGATCGCCTCAGGCCTCGAACCAAAGTGGAGGTCGCCATTACCGCCACAAATCGCTCTCTGCCTTGCAGAAGTTGTTCGGAGGCGATCCTCGGACCGACATCCCGCTTTCAACGCTTCGGCATGCCCGCAACGACACCCTCGGCGGAATCGCAGAGGATGACGAAACTGAACGGCATTTGTGTGTAGTTCTGCTTTGTCTCTCTTTGGCCTGACACCAGCACAGGGAACTGTTGGCCGCAGTGCGAAATGAGACGACGACCACAAACGAGGAACTCAATGATGCGTTGTACGAAAGGAGAGCCCAGAAAGCCGACTTCATCCGAGATCACCCGACATATGACAAGACGTTCTGGATCTTTTCGCAGAAGAATCTGCTACGGAGAATGTGTCAAAAACTGGTCCAACCGGCAAGCGGACCCCGTATCTTTGGCACTCCCCCATCACCGATTCTGTATCCTCTGTTCCAGATGACGCTGCTGCTGATCGTCATTGGCGGGATTGCCGTTGAGTCGATCTCGAACCCCGTGTACAGGC